TACACCAATCTCCTGGCTCCCCTGAAGGAAATATACGTCTCTGCCTGTGAGGGATTCAGCAAGGAATACTCGGCCATGCTCGCATTCCCATCCCCCACGCCGAAGGACCTGGAACGACAGGATGTCTGCCCCGTGTGCCTGGAGGGAATGAGCCCGACTCGTGCACGGATGACCCCCTGCAAGCACGTCTTCCACCGACTCTGCCTCAAGAGGTGCCTCCAGGACAATCCCCTCTGCCCCATGTGCAAGCAGGTCATCGTTTCGCGGTAGAACTCTGCGTGCGCAGTGTGTGTTATACGCTCACGGTCATGCGGTGAAAGTGTTGGTGTTTTAATCCGGTCAAGATACTGCAAGGCGATTCGATCGACGCCACTGCAGAAAACAGAAGCGCATCGAAAACGTCGTCGAACAATCATGCGCGACGCCACCTGGACGTACGAGGACGCGAGAGAGGAAACGGCTAATCCGAATCAGATGAGCCAGCGACGAAAGAGTCCACAGAAAAATTCCACCCTTCCTTTTCCGTCCCTCCCCCTTTTTTCTCTGCTCCTCTGACCTTTTGACCTTGAAAAAAATTTCCCGACGCCCTGCAGCACCTCCGACCCGGATGGACGGCAGCGCCGAGCCCGACCACCTCCCACGCAGCAGAAAGACAAGTAGAGCAAAAGTAGAACGTCGGCGCCCCCCTCCCATAACGACCCCAGAAGATTCCGAACTCTTCAACGACACGCGTCGAGGTGAGCTCTCAGATTAACGGGACGCTGAGCACATTGGCCCGTCTCGTAGCACGTCATCGCTTTTTCATTTCAGCAATAGAATTTGTATTCGATGTCTCATCAGGCGAGTGTGCTTCGAGGGCACGTCGATGGAACCAGAGACCCTTTGCTTTCATTCATTACAAGGACTTTGGATGACCTTTCGTCACCTGGTCACACCCCCTCCCAAAAACTTCTGTCACTGATGAATGCAAACATGCATTTCGAATTGAAACTGGTCGTGAATTCAGCCGTTCGTGTCTTTCGACTCTTTAAAACGCAATTGGGCTTTCTGAAAAAAAAAAACCTAAACATCTTAATTGCCCACTCTTTCTTGGCCTGAGGATCCTTGAGAATTTCATGAATAGAAAAATTTCATTTTAACCCAAGACTAGAACCAGCCAAGTCTGAAATGGAATAAAGTTACGTTTTGCCGTCAAACATTTTTGAGAAGGCAGAGAGCAATTGAGTCCAGCACAAAAAAATGAGCTGAAAGTGCCAGCAGGGACGAGATTCAGGTGGAGAATCCGGCATCACTGTGAATTGCACGAGACGGTTCCCCCGATGTTGGACTGGTATGACATCAGAGAGAAATAGTTTATTTAAAAAACCAGTATTACAGCACAAACGCATCCATATCCATCCCTTTGATCCAATCATAAAGGTGTACTTGATATGAGATATCGGTGCAAGAGCAAATCCATCACACAACCGACAGGTGAATCCACCAGGAAAATGAGCAACAGAATACAACACACCACAGCATCATCTTTCGCTTCTCGCTCGGAAACTCTCGCGACGACGCGTACGAGGAACCGACTCCGTGTCGCGTTCCGGACGGAAATTCCACGCCGAGATCCCATCGAAAGCATCTGTGATGGATCGGCTTCCTTCATCGGATTCGAGCATATAGTGATAGTGTAAAAGTTAAAATAGAATCATCAGTCAAGATCGATAGGAATAAATTCATACGCAGCACCATGAAATTCACCAGCATCGTGGAAGAATGAAGGCTTAAAGCAGAACTATAAAAGAACTGGGGGAGGAAGCAGACGATGCAACCGTAGTTAAACGCTGGGGCATCGTTGTGGAGATGCAGGCTACAATGGGAAGAGCATAAAAGAGAGCAAGGGAGTTCGTCTCGACCACACTCGCACGTCGAGTCGGCATCAAGAATCGGGAAGCACTAATGGATGAGGGCTCTTTGGTATAAGATTTTCCCAATTAGAAAAAATTCAATCTGTCGCTTCTCAAATGTAACTAATGGCAAATGACTACAGCACTATGTATCAGAGAGATGTCATATAACTGACATGTACTTTGCCTTGATTCCCACCACAGTTGTCACAGGAGTGACATAATTTTGAAAAAACTCATGGCTACTGATCCAACAGATTTTGAACCCCTGCATCTCCTGATATGACTTTTGTGGGGAAAATTTCACATGGGGAAAACCAAATGGTCTTGGTTCAAATCCCCTTTGCTATTAGCAGGCAAAATCCTGCAAATCAAGAAGTTAGTCCTCCAAACTAAAAATCCGAACGGGACCGTAAGATCCCAGGAGATCAAGATTCCGAGAAAACGTTCGTAAAGCTCGGACACGGGACGAGGGAGGATCATCATGCGGTGCGTTCTTCGTCCTTTTCCTTCTTCTTGATGCTGCACTGGTTCCATGGCTGCACGTCCCCAGAGCACAGCAGAATGTATATCACGTTCGCTCCGATGAGCACCCACCCCGAGATGGTGAACACCAACTGCCATGCCAGTAAGGTACCCTGTCCACGAAACAAAAGACATGTTATTCATGACAACATGAAGGAATGACCCAAAACGACAACTGGTGAAAATATCAAGGGAAAAAAAAATAGAGGAAGTGCACATATTGTGTGTAAGCCTGCAGGATGCTGCCTGTGGCTAGGGGAGACAAAATTCCAGGAAGGGTGGCAAAGCAGTTGGTGACTCCAAGGAGAAACCCAGCATGATTCGGGGCAATGTCGATGTGATTCACGTTGTATCCCGATTGCGCCAACGCGTTGAAACCCATGCCGAGCGTCATGAAGCTCATGGCGGCCGTGCGATTCCTGCCCACCCACGACACGCCGAGCAGGGAAAAGCCCGACACCCAAAATGCTGAAATATACAGTCTGCATCAGCATAATTTCTAAGCACAATTAATAACTTTCAGATTAAAAACTACAGCATATTTTTGCTTAATTCATGCACAACCAAACAAATCTCTTAGAATGTCACAAAGGGAATATATATATTTTTTAATTTCCTGCAACTGTCACTTTCCCCTTACCAAAAGTATTGAAGAGTCTGCGTGTAGTTCCAGTCGAGAGGAGGTTCCTGGAGCGAAATCCATCGGCCATGATGCTCCCCATGTTGGCCATGATGAAGGCTGCCAGGTAGGGAACAGCTGACATGAATCCATCCTACAGATAAAATGATACAGAAATCACCAGTCACTCACGCACTTAAAATCAGATTGCAGACCAAGATTGATCAAGATCAGATAGCAGGTTTTGCAATAATTCATTCCATCAACCATCTGGAATATGCTCATGCAAACTGTCCCCCCACAACAACAGGCAATAACTTCAGTTGCCAAATGCCATCTGATGACCTCAGACCACAGTTAATTGGTTAGACTTCAGACCATAATTGGTTTCCTAGTGAGACTGCTTTTAATACTGATGATAACCTTCAATATACTCTTAAGAACCAATAAAGTTCAAGGGGATTAAAATTCATTCATTCAGAGAAACAGTTGAAACCCAAGATGTGACCACTACTAAAACAGAAAAAAGGGAGTGGGATAGAAAAATGTTTGCAGCATGCCAACTGAAGACTTCTTACAGCAGATTTGTAGCATTGAAGATGAATGGTCAGCTAAAGTAATAACATAGATGACAACATCTTTGGTGAGGACATGCTTTGCATGTACAGAGTGATGGATAAACTCTGGCTGTGCCAGAGTTTATCTGTCCCATGCACCCATAGCAGATAAAGGTCTATTAGCCCTAAATCAAAGAACAAATCTAAAGATAAAGAGAGAACAAACACCTCTTGCAGGTTGTAGCCAAGGACATCCTTCATGTACTTGGGCATCTGGGTGAGGAGGGTGTAGTAGCCCCAGTTCTGTCCGACGTGTGCGACGAGGATGGCGTAGAAGGGAGCCGATTTCAGGATGGCTTTGTAAGGTACCTTGAACTGATGTAAGAAAAAAATCCAATGAGGATCACACTGGGATCAATTAGACCCTGCAGGCTCGGGAAACACACCCGGTGCCCAGGCTTGACTTGTTGCCGCAAGGCATTCGCGATGGTCTGCTTCTCGGCGGGCGAGATCCACGGGTGGTCGTCGGGTGAATCGTAGGCCAGGAAGCACCAAAACACCCACCAGATGATCCCCGTGACACCAAAGAAATAGAAGATGGATGGCCAACCGCCCAAAGCTGGCGAGTGAGCCAGTACTCCAGACAGTGGCAGTGCCACCACTGTCCCTAGTGTAGCTCCTGTTGACACAAACATGGGAAATACTCATCTTGCAACAGAGATGTGCAGTTTCACAAGCAAGTGTGCTTTCAAAGTAGTTCATTTAGGCTCAAACATTTGGACAGTCCCAACAAAGGAATCATACTTTTATTTATGCATCGAATTGCAAGAATAAACATTGACTGAGAAAGTTAATACTTGACAACTCACATGATACTTACCTGAGTAAACGAATGCTGCAATTTTTGTTCTCTCAAGAGGAGGGACCCATTTTGCCAAGAGGGCATGCATGGCCGGGAAGGTGACTCCTTCCCCGAGTCCCTCGATCACGCGCACGGCCACCAGGTAGCGAGCGCCGAGGTGTGCGGCGAGGGGTGTGAGAAGGGTGAAGATGGCCGTGATGAGGCAGCCGAAGCCATAGAGGTGCTTGGAACCAAAGCGTTGGGCCAAGAGACCCCCGGGGATCTGGGTCACGATGTAGCCCCAGAAGAAGGCACTCAGGATCATTCCCTGCATCTCCTCATCCCAGTTATAGACCTCAGCACTCCAAGATGAATTTCCTGCTCCCTAAAATGAGAATCACAAATTCAGGACTATAAAAAAAGCTGAACAGAAAAGAAGAGCAGCATATAGTCTGCTTATAGAAGGGCCCTCAGCAAATGAGAACAACAGAAAAAGGACACCCTCATTCATGTAACAACCACATATTCATCTTTCTAATATAGACATTTATGGAAGAACTTCTGTGGGGTTCACATGGTATATGGAGAAATATATGAAAGACAGACTATTAGGAAAAATTTTTTCTAAGCAGCCAAGAACAAAGAAAAAGAATGACTGACAGAATGATGGAGGGGATGACTAGAAGAGTTGGTCATTGCCACGATCCCAACGCTGAGGTTCACCCTCATGGCATAGACGTGGAAGAAGCCCACGAACCCCACCGCTGCCAGGGTGTATCGTGCCGAACACCGACCTACGATCGACACTCGGCGATGTATAGTATGCTCGACTGAAGCAAAAGGATGTCAGAGAGAGAGAGAGAGAGAGGAACAGAACTCTACATACGGGAGCACTTTGTCGGTGTGCGTCGGTACTGGATGCTTCCATCGGTTTCGGGTAACATTAGGAGGACCTCGTCTTCGTCTTCCATCTTCCACCTTCCTGCATGACACACACCTACAGTCTTTTGGGGAAAGAGGCACGAGGTAATCTAACCGATTATATGACCATATCAAGTGCAACCGGCGATGTGTGCTGGACATTGACGGGTGACTGTCTTATTCAATTACTGTAAAGAGAGATCTAACCGCATGATGAGATTTCTTGATCATATTGTCAGAAGATGATGAAAAATTCACGATGGAGAGGGTAAAGCCTGTTTTGGCACACACAGGCTTCAGTTATTGAGAGTAAGGCTCTATACTACCATGAAAAATATATTCCTCCCTTTTGTTCCCCTTGGAATTTCATAGGTCATGATCAGGACATATTGTAGATAACCAGAATTTCCCCATTCCTTAATTTGAGAGGAACCCTGAAAGAGTCAAGAGAGTTCATCTTTTTTCTGCAAATGATTGCAATTGTATGTGCAGGCTTGCTGGCGAACATCCATGAAAAATTATGAAGATTCTAAAGACCTTGATTGTACAGGCAGGAACCTGCAAACCAGATCCTGAAGGTCTCAGTTATGTCTTCCCAAAAGGAACCCACTTCTGGGGATGGGATACGAAAAAAAGTCTCGAAGGAAACGAGATCCGACCGTGTCGGTGGGGAAGAGGTTGTATTCCGTTGAAGACAAAAGAAGATGGGAACACACAATAGAAGCAGACAAAGTTGCAACCCAGATTCTGCCACTTGGCACAGAACCACAGATTTTCACTGCTACCTCCAAAATTACTAGCTGCTTTGCCAAAGAGCACCATAAGCAAAAACCTTGTTTGTCCATAACCAGTTACATGGTTATGTTTAAGAAAAATTTCATTGCACAACTTCCTGTACTTTCGGATAAGTGGAGCAAACAGCACTACAAAAAACCCTTATTCTACCAATGATATGGCTCTGCCAATATGAATTTAGAAAAGAAACTCCAACATGCTCAATTGAAGTACCCTTATCAAATTTCATAACCCTTGACTTCCTAGCTTAAAAAAATAATCGGTACATCCATTCATCCCATTAGGGTGAAACTAATCTTCCCATTTTTTGTCTTCACAAAAATGGGAAGAAACACAGAGAATTAAAACCATGACAAGCGACTAGAAGAAATGCTGCATGGTGCGAATTACGGCACGAACCCAGTACGGGACCCATCGCTCGGGGTCCTCGAACGTGGCGGTCGTGACAGGATGTGAGGGTGCAAACAGTCGCTCCTGCTCCTTTTCCAGCTTCATTCTCAGTGCACGGTTGGTCGTGAGCAACGCCACCTGGGCTTCTAGGTCCCGATGCAACGACCGGTGGCCAAAGTTGGGGGATCCGATGAAGGTGAGACACGGCAGTTCTTCCTGGGCCACCGAGAGCCAGAGTCCTTTCGCATGGAATGTCCAATTGGGCCTCTGGTACTCAAACAGCCGCACCCGCTCCATCGCGTCACGATTTCCACGCAGCTTCTCAAAGAATTTCCGCATCAACAGGGTGTACCCTGCAGGGATCCCACCTGCTGGCCACTTTGCCTTATAGAACCCATTTGCCTGCAGCACAAACACCCCACCTTTGAAAGTTTGCTTTTTTTTCATCCAAAAGTTTATGCAATATGCATACTTTAAAATTTGTCACTTGTTCCTGAGTAACTAATATCAATTGGAGGAAACAAACCATAGTACCTCATAATTTTTTAAGTGAATTTCATGCTTGATTCACAAAGGAATATGGGAATCATGCTAATTATTGAATTATAGAATCATGCTAAGGAATATCTGCTATATTGATATTTGGAACTTGGAAAATGAAACCTTCATAAGAGCTCTCTCTCCTTGCTTTCTGAGCTGAAGCACATAATGCTGATACCTGAAGATTCAAGGACAGTAAATAGAGCAACATAAAGTGTTACTCTCAAACATATGGGTAAGAATAGTCAGCTTGCCTTCAGGAAAGCAAGCTAATGTCAACTTTTCATCACCAGTCTCATCCCTATTTCCCATTTCTAGAAGTGGAAACATTAGATGAAAAGTGCAGCCAGTCATGGCAATCTATGCAAGAACTTCTTTTGACCTTGAAAATATTAATACTGATGTGAGAATTCAGGAAGGGGGAGGTTTCTGCCAATGCATGCAAAGGAGCATGGTGGACCATCAATATCATAAGAAATTGATGAAACTGAAGCAATTGATGCAATAATTTAGAAGTAAATCCAACCTGCGGATGAGCCGTGATGACGTGAAACCGTGCGCTAGACTCCAGCAAGATGACTCTCTTGTAGTCTTCGGTGAGATTGAAGTATCCAGTGGCGAGGCTGATGAGGCTGCGAGCAGGTGCCTCCTGCATCAGCCTCAGAGTCGCATCACGGTCGTGGCAGATCCCCAGGGGACCCATCTGGATCAGTGGATACACCACCGTGTCGAGCTCCTGCTCGGGGGGAGCGGGTTTCTCGCCGTTGTGGACGACACGGTCCAGCCAGCGGTTCACCGTCGTCATCGTCTCCTGTCTGTTCGATCTCCCCCTTGGGGTCGGATACCTTTGAAGTGCATCTCTGTACTTTTGAAGGAGGTTCTTGATGCTCTTGGATGCCTGAAAAAGAATATTCACCCATATTAAGTTAAATTTGAGATTGCACGAGCTGATGTGAATTGTCACACCTAGCCCTGTCTCCCAGTCCTAGTACAGGTGTAATCAATAAATTCTCTGCTAGTATGGGTTTGAAATTTAGGCCATAAAATTAGGTAGAAACATGGTAATGGTTGCAAGAGGTGTGCAGGGACACAAGATCAGTTTCATACAAATTTCATCACTCTAGTATTGATACAAAAACCTTACATGAATAAACAGGGTATTTAAATATATCTACATCGCAAGATATCCCATGTTTATTATAACATTTGAGAAAATGCTGAAAGCATAGAGTAGTCAACCTAATGGTAGCTCCCACTGCAAGTGCATGGACAGATTCATCGGTCTGACAACCCTAGCAGCTAAGAGCAATTTGGGAAAGCATAGAAAGATATTGCAAAGGAAATGCATTTTACCAACTTCTCCCAAAAATATGTGATAATTCTTGGATTCTCTCCTCTCTGACAGTTTAAGTTCCCAACCTTTGATGCAAACACACATATGAGATTGAAGTTATGGCAACTTTCTCCTTTTTTTTTAATAATAATAATAATAAATTATAAGAAATATTTAAATCTGCAAATATAATTTTCATACACAAGTTTTTTTTAATTTCCCTTTCTTTGCATAAAACCTGGTTTTTCCAACTGGATTGGAAGACATACCTGGAACTTGAAATTGGTTAATTCCCCATTAACAGGGTGTTCATTCCATGATGGATGCAGGGTGAGCTTGTCTTCTGGTGTCAAACGAAAGGAGAAGCAGCTGATGGTGGACACCAGCTCGTGGAAGAAGTCTGCCACCAGGGGGCAGTTCTCAAACACAACATACCGGTCCTGGCGGTTGGTGAAGTAATCGTGGCTCAGGTTTGCCCTAACCACAGATCAATACCCTTTGCATTCTTCTTCCATGGTGGCCAAAGGGGAATAAAGGAGGTTTCATGCCTACCCACTCATGATGAGTGTGTTGTCAAAGAGGTAGACTTTGACGTGCTGGAGTCCAACGAGTTCGTTCCATTGAGCGGGCAGGAGCCACTTCCAGATTCCTCGAAGTTCTGGAGTGTGATAGAGTGACACCTGGAGTGATGAGACAAGAAAACCAGGCATGTAGCATACACTAGCACGAAAATTAAACTCAATATCTCAAAATTAGTGAATAATAGCACAACATATCAAACTAGCCAAAATAGAAAAAACAAATGGAACTGATGAAGTGAAATGAAATTCATCAATAAAAAATGAAATAAAATAGAGACAGAAGAGCTTCATTGGGTATTTTGCACAGCATATACCATCTCTAGAAACCAGGATGAAAAATTTGCTGGATGGACACTCAATAACATTTTCTGTTTTGGAAGGAAATTGGCTCTGACCTCATCAACTTATGATTGCTGAACATAATGTGAAGTCAGTGCTACTCTAAGTTATGGATAAGAAAGCAAATAAGTTAACCAGGGATGTATACCTGTACATTCTCTTCATATTGCTTGAGCAGTGGGAGGAGGAGGGATCGGGAGTTGACCCGACCCCGTGATCCACGGGTGGCATCCAGCAGGATGTTCACTTCCAAATTCCCATTTCTTGCTTTCAGAGATTCTTCTATCTTCTTCACCTGAAAAATGAAAATAAAAGAACAAAAAGCCAAATTAAGTATGAAGAAAACCCTATCCACCCATCATGCTGCCACCTGCAGCTTACTTCCCTAAATCAACTAGCTGATATGAGTCTTATGGATTTATTTCAGAGTATATCATTGCTGTTCAATCCAATCTCTGGCCCAACCAAAAGGGAACCCTCTGGTCTCACTAACTATGGAGATGAGTCCCTATGCAACAAAAAAAATATCCACTCCTAACACCCTGAAAAACCTTGGAAAAAGAGACACACAGCCATAAATGCATGCGGCAAGAACATGCGAACACACACACACAGGCACGCAAAGGGTTTACTCATGTTGCATCTTGCCATTGCCAAACAAGCCATATCCAAGGATGAGAAACTTGAGTGCCTGGCTTTCAAGGAAAAATGAATCTATGACACCAGCCAGAACAAAGATCCCCTGGTTATTTGCACTAGGAATCCACCCAGAGACACAACACAAAAGACTATCAACCCTTCAGATCACAAGAAGCAATGCAACAATTACGAACCAGTTCCTCCTCGAGATCTCCCGTTCCGAGGTACAGGGAGGCAAGGGTGATCCTCCACTTTGCCTCACGTGCTTTCTGCTTCAACTCCTCGTAGAATTCCTCCGGACCACCCAGGACCTGGACCTGGAAGGCAAGATGCTCTTGCAAAGGCACGCAGAGAAAGAAAAACGACAGAGAGACTCGCGGGGCCGACTTGGGAGCCACGGATGCGGAAGCAAGGTCCGAAATTGGAGAGCCAGGAGAAACGATCCAGGAGGGATGGACCTCTTCCTGCTGCCATTGTGACCTTATTCTGTCATCACTTTCATTCTGCCTAATGATGTTACACTTCTGAAGTTTTTCTCAAGCATACTCAATTATTCCTTGGACCTAAAGGATGCCAAAAATGTTGAATGAATGAAAACAAGGATATGCCATGAAAACCAATGCAGAGAAACTTAGGGAAGTGTCCATTAATTGGCTTGCCACTTGAAGTAACACTGAAATGTATGCTTACATAAAGGAACAATCACTCATTTCAACCAGCACAGGCTGAATGTTGGGTTTGCCCATCTTGTGGTCTCCCTGACTCACTGGGTGAAGGGATTTTTTTCCCAGATATAATCATTGGATTTGAATGATAAAAAAATTTATTCTTCATAGGAACTCTCAGCAAAAAGTGATATGGCACCAGGAGAAATGCAGGAGCAGGCTGCAAGACTAGATCTCTGGGTGTTTGATCATGAGGTGGCCCATAAGGACCTTTTCATTCTTGCCAACATCGATGAAGATGTCAGTCAGGCTTCCATTGCAGTGTGGGACCTGGTATTTTCTAATTTACAAAATAGATGAGCCGAAGCCTGTAAAATATTTTCTCAGGGCTTTTTCCTTTCCAGAAATCTAGTATTCTGTTTAACTTACCGAATTTCCCATTGGTTTTCCATTTGTGAAGACACAGGAGCAAGAGCAACTGCACTAGCTTCACCGCTCTTGGTATCTTCACCCAGGTAAAATGTTACAACCAGTAGATGACCCACGACTCGCAGGAGCAAGCCGGTGTCCTCCAGGTCCTTTCCTTGGCCCAGAGGCTTAATAGCGTATGTCACTTCCAGTCCACTGACCACTGAAAATCCACACACCAACATGCTGGTACAATATGAAGCAATATTAGGGCTGTTCAATTCTTTCAATCTGAAAAGTATCTGTTAGGGAACTGGGCTGACCGAGAAATGCCACCAAACGGAGAGCCAAGACCCGCCTCGTCGGCAGAGAAAAGAATGGACGATCCTCCATCAAAAGCTTCATCTGCATAAGCCTGCATGTGGAACAGGTGTGATGATAGACATCTCATGGATTCCACCACATATGACAAGTCGTTTTCTGCCAAAGCCGAGACGAGGGCATCGTCATCGAGAAAGGGCCGAGGACACGTCACGGGAAACGATGGCTGGTGTTGCTGTTGACTGAGGTTCAACCACGGACGACCACCTTCATCCTTCACGTAAGAAAAGGCTCTCACTTCTTGCTGAGATGAGCTATGTTGACTTCCAATGATGGGGCTCAGCTTACCTTTCCCAAGATGAATGTCTTGAATCCAAATCCTTGGCAAAAGGAGGTGGAGAAAGGGATTTGTGTGGGCCCCCGTTGACGGAGATGAGGTCCAAGGAGGGACCAGAATAATAGGTCTACTTCGTGCCAAGCATCCAGATACTTCTCAAAGCATTCGTGTGTCCAGCTCGGAGCAAAGATAAATGCCGAGAGCCCATATGATCTTAATTTCTCCAATGCCTTTTGAATAAATGAAAGAAGAGAATATTTAAGAATAATAAATAAATACAATTCCTCAAATGCAGAAAATACACCAGAAATAAAATGAAACCAGCAGGTCCAAAGACCAGTGGTATAGTCATAATTTCACTGAACCCCCCCCCCCCCCCCCCAATCCCCCCCTCACTACACCACTGCCAAAGACAGGCAGGTTTAAATCAGTGAAGAATGAAGTCAACACTTAATGATCAATATTGTTAATAGCAACAATACATCATACCAAGAGGAAGCAACAAAATCATGTCCTATCAATCATAGTCCATCCCACCTCAGAAAAAAAAGTTAGGGAGAAACAAGCTAGTATCACCAGAGTCTATCCCTTACAGCCAGATCAGATATTACTCTGATGAGAAATGAGGTTACATATGGTGAACCTATAGAGCAAGAGAGTGCAATATGCAGCCTACTGACCAAAGAAAGAGTAACTCAGAACCACCCAGCAGAGTGGTCCATGCTTGTCATAGAGCATCAATGGGAAACCAGCACAGCCACAGGATATGTGCTAACCCACTCTATGGCAGCTGATTCCCCAGTTGTCATTGATATTTCATTTAGTTTTATTAACTTTCCCTTTCCCCAATAAAAAAAGATGAGGTCACCTATTTAATCTTCGGGGCTATGTCAGGTTCTCCCTGGTTTAATTCAAGGTGCACAAAGAGATAGCTTCTTTGGCAAGCAACGATCTACATTTGTCTACTGGAACCAAAATCTCTCCTTTCAAAGGCCACGTCAACACAGGGGCTCCAAAAGATGTGTAGAAATTTCATACCTGGGTAAAAGAAGCAAGCTATTTTAAAAATTGAAGAAACATCAAGAACTCATTTATGCCAGAGAATTCTATTCATATACAATAGGGATGCAGAAAGTGAAGCTTGTAGCCTGCTGAATGAGAAATGTTTTAAGCCTGGGCTTTTGTCAGTGCCAACCCCCCCCCCCCAAAAGTGCCAATTTACCTATTCAATTATCTCCATGTGACACAACGTGAGCCTTATGCAGAAAAGAAAAGTGCAGAAAAAGCCCTTGAAATCTTAGATGAATATTAAATACTTCAGCCAGCATTAACTTCCCAAATTTTAAGCATAAAAAATCACTGTAAACAAGCTGAATATGCTCTGTTTCAAGCCAAATACATCAATTTGTCACACTCCAACATAACTAAGTGGAGCCAGCAAGACATTTCATGCATTTCATCTTGGATTTTCATCATGACTTGACATTCTGGTTGCATTTTTTAATAACTGAGTTTTATTCTCTACCGCAGGTCAAAAGCCTACCTCATCATGCCTACCATTCATTCAAGATATCATGTGAAAAAAAGGCTTGCACAATATTGATAGAAGACATTAAAAAATTAGTAACCAGTAACCCTTTTTTTTTTTCATCTATACTCTCTCCACCCCTCCTTGGTAGAATATTACCCCACCCCTGCCTCACTGCATCATCAACCACTCATTGCATGTTTGCTGCACCCTTTACATTTTTAATAGTCTGTGTTTCACCGACCATTTTTAGTCTGTACACCTCTGACTTATGGTGATATGGTTAATAGCAACTAAAACTCTAAGATATAAATAATGGCCTCCAAATGTCCACCAATACAGGCACAAGACTCCTGGGAAAAGAATGATACATAATTTTGCTGACATTTTCTCCAAAGATGGCTTCAATGGCATTCATAATGTTTTTCAGTGTATCAGGTGCTTATAGATTGCATATAACTACCAATTTCAGGTGGTATTCCCATAAAAATTACTTCAGGGCAGAGAAAATAGATCTGGTGAAAACTTCATATCACTAATTAGGGAGCAACCTTGACAGGAAATAATTACCTGGCAGTAGGGATGAGCTCTACTGCTGCTAGGCCTGTTATCCAATTGAGAAATATACCCCCACAATGGGTAAACATCCTGACATTCTTGCCAGACAGAACTGATAAATGAAGGATGAGAAAACAGCAAGGAATGACAATGACTAAGGCACGTAACAACTACACCAAGATCTACAGTATAGGTCAAAGGGTATAGGTATGCAAGACTTGTTTCCACTATGAGTCTGGAAACCCTTGCCTCTGCAAGGCCAGCTTTCATAAAGGAACCTCTGGCACTGACCTGCTTGGTATTGAACCCTCCGCCACCAAGCATCCCTCGGCCAAAAGCATCTAGTCCAATGAACACGTCTTGGACCCTATGTTTGGCGTTTTCGATACTCTGTTGTAGATTCCCTTTTGCTCCATCTGGACCCTCATCCTTCCACGTATAGTTCACCACTATCCCATCACACACTTGGAAAAATCCTCTGATGAAGTAGTTCAATTAGATGGCTACAAAGGGCACTCCATTTCAAATGAAAAGCAAATTTTGCAAAGGAGAAATCTTACAGATTCTTGTCGTTGAGCTCATTCTGCCAAAGAAGCTTCCCATCAACTGTGACAGCATCATACCAGAGTACCATACCATTGGGGTTGGAACCTTTCATAGAGATGGAGAGTTGGGACAAAAAACTATTCATGGCCTCAGGTTCACCAGTCCTCAAATCATTTTCAATGTTGATGAGCCAACCCTCAAAGCCATAAAACTGAGCTACTTCTGTCAGCTTCTGAACCGCTCGAGCTATGGACTCTTCGGATTCTAGCAAAGCTTTGCAGAGCTTGGAACCATCCTCCCATTCAGTAATCAAAGTCCCTGAAAATATATACCAGTTCTCCATAGAAAACCTGATCAGGATTTGCACTAGGATGCAAGCAAAAATGAATGAGCTAGAAATGAAATAGGATGCAAATAAATGGAAGCTGGACGCACCCAATACCTTCACTCCATGCAAGTGGGCAGCATTAATCCACATGAGGGGAGGAATGGTGACAAAGTGATGGCTGAAGTACACGAATGCATCAATGCATGACCAGTGATAAAACCTATAACCAGTTGGATCTTGGCTCCCACAGATGAACCTAGAAGCCATACCACACATAAGGTATTGAATCATTTTAATTCATTGACTAAAGAGCACTCACTTGTCATCTAGATATCCTCCTTTCAAATCATGGCAAACAATGGTCTTGGGAGCCTTGGCATGATCGCTTCGTTCAGCCACGTTAACAAGGTCATACCGGGCCACCGAGTGACCAGGAATGGAATCAGCGGTGAGATCAGCCAAAGGGATGGTCTTGTGTTCTTGATCTTCCCTTGCAGTCCACTGATACAGCTCTTGCAAGCTTCTTAAGGGTTCTATGCACTCAGATTGAGCCCTTGGCTTTGTCTCCATGAATCAAATGTATTGGTCAGAAAGAAAACAAAAGCTTACAGCATATCTGCTGGGGAAAATCCAAATTAAAACAGACCATACTTAATATATGTCATTTATGCCTCTATTGGACAACTGCCACAACACAGTTGAGTGTGGGCAAATAATGGATGGTTCTAGAGTATTCCATCCATATCCAGTCTGATGGCTGTATGCCCAATTAGCAGGGATTCAAGTATGAAAGGCAGAAACAATCCCTTTCAACTGAGAGCAAGAAGCAAGAAATCTCTTACAGCCTGTCTTTCACAAATTGAAAAACTGCCAGGTTGGAAAATTTGCCAAGTATTTGGCCATCATTCATTCAGTCATTCTTCCATTCCAGTAAAAACAAGAAATGTGAATTGAATCAAATAGACCTATGTTTGTCTAATAGGAAGCAGTCAATGGAAGGCAGTCAGTAGGAAAGAGAAAATCTGAAATAACATGATTACAAGAAAACAAAGCAGAAATTCTCCAAAACCACATAATGATCAAATGAGACTGAGATTAACTGGATTAAAGCAAAATGAGATCTTGAATGAATGAGATGTAAAGTTTCATCACAGGTGGTATGATGATGCAAGTGGGCTGAAGATATTTCACCCTCGAGAGATGCCACATCAATTGGATGCACCTGAAACGCCAAGACATAACAGGTCAATAAAGGAGCTGACAGTTTCTCTCAATAAAAAAAAAAGGACACTCACTGTGTCCTTGGCTAGAACCCTGTCCATGCTTGTCTCTGAGATGTTGTTTTAATGCCTCAACCCCATCAAATCGCTGGTCATCTCCACAGAGGACGCATACTTCCTTTCCGTGTTCAGCTATGTGCTGTCTCAGGGCAGATTCTGTTCTGCACGGAGCTTTGCAGAATGTGCACATGTAGGGCTTGGAGCCTGCAATGACACAATTGACTACGATATTTCCTCTTATGAAGAGTGGGCTGATAAAAGGAACACACTGAAATGGCCAACATTCTCAATTCCTAAAACTAGTCCAATTAGAAGCTTAATCAGTATTGATTAAATGGCCCAAAGCAATCAAATATCAGCAAAAAAGGGATAGGTTCTTAGAAGGCCATATTTGAATGCAGAATCCCACAAATCCTTTTACTTACTTTTACATTTGATTCCTGCTTCGTGCACTACTTTACCAGTCAAAAAAGTGGCTAATGAATAAAGCATAATTGATGCTACCATTCCAGATATCAGTGTGACCTGGACCAGGGACTGCATTCGTGATCTCAGAGGAGAAGCATGGGGTACTGAAGCATGGTACACTTGTGCCATGGAATCTATTATCCCCTTGCCAAGGATATTAGAATTTGGTTTTAAAAAAAAGGAGTTAGTCCAAAAGCATCCTCATCATCACCTATAGAGGACAGTGCTATGACTGTCAGCTAACAGGCTCTGACCAAAGAAGAAACTGACCCATGTGAGAGATGAATGGGGCAAGGCGAGTGAAAAGGGCACCACAGTAAATGCATCGGAATCGCATGGGTTCCAGGTGACTGCTATAAAAGTGACGCTTCAGCTTTTCCAAAGATGGGAACTAGAAGACAGACAAGCCTCTTGAGTGATTTCAGGGGAATATGACCACACCGAGCACCACTAAAAACAATGCTAACAGAATTTCTGATGCAGTCAATTAAGATAAGTTTACCCAATGTTCCTGGTTTAGCACATTATAAAAATTTTTTTTTTTTTTAGCCATTATTACAATGGTGAAGACTGCCTTGAAGACATCATGGGACCCATGGGAGATGAGCCTACATGTGCCTCAATGATGATCACTGGGAATGCAAAGATCCAGGAGTGAATGACACAGATCTAATTCTCTGGTAAGGGCCAATACTGAGGTCCTGACCATTCCAGAGAATTTGCTTTAAAGTTTTAAATTCAATTTGATTCAAAATTGGAAAAATACTATAAAATATGATTCATGGTTTTCCATTCGTTCTACATTCATGATTCAGATCAGAGATACCCAAAGATTAATGATAAATGAAGTTCATTAAATTTTAGTTGGAAAATAAAAAAACCTGATTTCACAATATCTGAGCTTGCATGTATGTAAGGGAGAAGCCAATCAAATACTACGATGGAACATGTAACATATGCCCACCTCCCCAAGACAGGGTTCACAACTGTAGAACACCACCCCTGTTGAGATGTTCTTCTTGACTTGCATATGAACCTGCAGGTGCTTGTTGACCTGGCTGAGGACAGGAGATTTTGAGGCATCACAATCAAAGACCTCCTTGCAGATGCGACAATAAGACGGTATCCTCGAACAACACGTGGAATCTGTTATTGCAAATCGGCTCTTTAAGGCAGCACTCTTGAAACTCCTCCTGCCAGGACAGGATTCTTGCTGACACTTAGGCTTCCCTTTCAACTTGCTGGAGTTGAAATTCACAATCTTCTGAGGGACTGGGCCAGTGCTAGAAGACACTGGTCGAGGTGCTAGTAGAGGCCTTTTCACTTTCGGTTCTCCATCCGAAGAGACGAGATTGCGGATGGGAGAAGAAGACTCCTGCATCGTTGAGACAGGAGGCAGGGGCACATTCTGGCGGAGGGAGTCATCGTCCATGATGTCATACATTCCCGTACGACTGAGACCGGCAGAATCAGATCTCTCAGATGAGTCATTGCTATCTCCAGGCACCAGGAACCAACCATTGATCACAGTCACCATGTCATCCAGTTCACTGTTGCGATCTAGATCGCAGAGAGGGCCAGAGATTTCCAAGCCTGATAGATTATCATCGCTGAGATAGGATAGTGATGGATCTTGTTCTTCCAAGGTATCTGGATCTTCTGGTGGCACAGGCTTAAACTTCTTGACACTGGGCTCAGGTGCTGATGAAACCAAGGATTTTGCTTTTTCTTGAAACTGCACATTTTCTTCTGTATCTGTGGTGACTTCTGGAACATGTGTTACGGGTTTGGGTAGTGCATTCACAGAAGTCTCTTCCCTTTTTGGCAAGGAAGTTCCACTTGGCAATGAGATGAGGAAAGTTGAATGCATGGGGAAACTAGGGAAAGCCGAGACTGAAGGCTTTGGAAGAATGAGACGGTTAGGCCTCTTCGAAGCACTGGATTGATTTTCTTTGCTGTAATGCACAGGAAGCACTTTCATATACACTGGACCTGTTTTCTTTTTTGTCCGTCGTCTGCAAGACTGAGGACTATATATTTTCTCAGAATCACTCTTGGAGAGACAAGTCACATCATCATTATCAATCATAATGGTGTCAGAATTTGACTTTGTTTTTGGCTTGTGCTTTTGACTTGGCTCAGGATCATGAGGCACACCTTTAAGGACTCCCATATCCTGCAAGATCTTCTTGTAATGTTGTACCAATTCATCCATCCAACACTGTACAATCATGAGAGATTTTAAACACCGTATACAAGTCTTGCACAGCTGCACCTCATCCAAACTCAGATCATGCCTCTTGGAGGCAAAGACACGAGAACAAACTTCTGGTAGTTCCTTCAGGTCATCCTCAGTGGGACTTGACGTCTCCTTGAACTCGTTCTTGCACAGACAGCAATGGTCGTGTGTTTCCTCCTCACAGTCCAAGAGGAATCTATCTTGAAAGTTAGAGTTGATGAACACACACCGTAGTTGAGATTCAATAGACTCCAGACAAGTTATATCTCTTGCCTTCACCTCTGGTGGAAGCTGAGACAGGCCAGTCTTAATACTAAAAGGTCCTTCATCGTCCACACTCGTCACTATCTCCATGACTTCACACATCGTTTTGGCGAAACTCCAGAAAACATACCTTCATGAGAAGCATACCAAAGTCATGATTTTCAATCATACCATCTGACAGGTTTTCAGTAGAGAGGAGGTCATGATTCATGAGTAAGGGTGTCCCTTATGGAAAAATATTTAATAGGCCAACAAGTAAAGACAACTCTGAGCATGGAAGCAACTTCTTCAATCAATAACAATAACCAATAAATAGCTTTCGCTAATCTATATGCTAAACTAAACTCATATACATAGCAATATAGGTCTCATTTGACAGTCACTAGGGCTTACTTGGTTACCTCTTGTCATCACAGATAGCCAAGGGTCTTTAACTTTTCATTCTCCTTTATGAAGTTTCTGCTAATGATTTTTTGGTCAATCAAGTTTTAGATTTAGGTGGTGGGGTAGTTGTACTTCTGGTACAAACTGCGGACACTGCATGAACACTCTCCCCCTCCTCCACGGATGTATTCTATACCAATAAGACATATGGGTATACTACACGAGCAAAAAGTCAAAAGGTTAAACTTGAGCCAAAATCGTTTTGAGAGGATAAATTGCACTGAATATGTAAAACGATCAAAGCAGCTCGCATCCACTACAAAATTCCCAAATGATCACGCCTCTAGGCTAGGCTGCCTGGACTCAATGGGACAGAATCGCCAAAACGAAAGTTCGAGCACGGCAGAAGTTCCACCTCGACATATCACGACGTGCCAGCAGTGTGGCCCTGCGGGCGGCCATGTCCGCGACATCCAAAAAGGCGCCTCCCGTCTCGGCCACATGGGACTCACCTACAGATGCGAATTTGATTGAGCTTCGCTGGGTCTGAGGCCGTGCCGACTCCGGTTTCCATGGAATCCAGTCAGTCTCGGGAAAATGCGAAGAACAAACCTCTCCACGTCCCGCGGGAGTACCAGTTTCCTCGGACGGCCTCCCTGAACGTGTTGGCCGCTCGAAAGGACTGGCTCGGGTAGGCCCATATGCCTCACTGCTGAAATGCTTGAATTTGCCATCGCATTTGCTTGTGGAATATGTGAATCATAGATCGTTGGTGCGGGGAGATGACGAAGTCTTCCGGACGCACGACACATTGGATGCTGCTGAGGTTCACCAAGCCATTTCCTTGCTGGAATGCCTTGGAAAGGACTGGGTCTATCTCCTCGTGCAGGTAGGAGAACCTCAATTTTATTCATGATTGAAAGGTTTAGCATGGAGCTCTCAACCTTGGTCACAAGTGACTCCAAAGTTTGTTGTGCAAGCATCGGTCGTGAACCAGAACTAACATGATGTGCAGATATTGGGCCAATGTGAAGGTGGCAACTGTCCCTGTCTGATCAGTGCCTTGAGTTTCTTGAGTCATGACTTACAGCCTCACTCATATACTTTCATGTGCCTATTACTTAACCTTTTGATGCCATAGCACACCATATGGCATGCTTTTGTCATTGTGTCATGGTTTTCATTTTTCTTTGTATTTCCAAGTTTGTTCACACGATGGTAGCACTCATTGAGGTCACGAAGAGTTTGTTTAGGAGTGACAATGTGCATGTTGGTCATCATATTGCTTTTTTTTATTGGCATTTTCAAGGCTTAAACCTTCAAGACATTTGCAGGATCTTTCTATGAAGACAAGTTCTAATTTTTTATGTATAGTTGTAAATTTTGCTTGATATAATTCCCTTCTAAGTCTACAGCAAAAAATTTTGATGGCATCATATTCTGCAAAATCTGGTCTTTCATTTCATACCAAACAAATTGTAATAGTATTAAAATGTGATGGCATAATACTTAATTTTGGGGAAGAGTGCAGTTTCATTTGGAACATAAAAATAGTTTGGGTGCTAAAGAGTCAAGTCAGAGCTTGGCTCATTTTTGTTTTATCACAAAACAGCTTTGCAGCATTCTGGGACTCTATATTCCTGTATTATAGGCTGCTCCACAAAATATGTATGGCAATAAATGAGGCAAAATTGCTTTGTGTATTTTTACAGTACAAGATTATTTAGTCTAAGTAACTCGCCAAGACATCAGAACTAACCTGAGGGGCAACTTCTTCATTCATTAGAAGCCCTCTCATGGGACTTGCAATGTCAGCATCTAGCATGAACATTCGGCATGATTGTCCATGAAACATGAGCCAGAATGTGCATATGTTAAGTCCATGATACTATGGTATCATGACTGCCTGGATTTGTGCAATTGGGTGATGAGTGGTATATTCTTCTTGCCTGTACTTGTTATGCTGATACAGCAGGTGTTACATTGGAACTTTCTTTTTGAAGCTGCAGTTACACCATCTCCATCTTCCCAGTATAATATGCAAGTGCACCAGTTTTTGAGATGAGGGGCATCCGTGAAACGTAGCAATAGCAATGTGCACCTCATCCACTTGCCACATGGGTTATTCATGGCAGGAAGTAGCTTGGGTGCTCCATTCCTTATTCTCTTGTTCTCTTATTTGAGATGATATGCATTCATGAAAGTTTATCAGCCCTGGATTTGCCGGTCACCATGTACCTTTTTTAGTATCAGAGGCCTATGCTCCCAGTTTGGTCAGTCAGGTGGGAAAAATGATTCAAGCTTTCTTAGCTTGTTGGAATAAGCTTTGGGCTCATAAAGTTGTGGTACCTGGTAGAGCAAGGTAATTTTCTTAGCATATGAAACCATTCACATAACAAGGAATATTCCATTTTTCCCCCAGAGACATGAATCAGATGAAGAAAAGGAGTGCATTCCATTGCTGCAGCCAGCCTTCAGTTTCTCAGGGTCATCCAAAGAGCTCTCCTTCTCACAAGCACTCCACTTTTTGTCATCTACCAATCACAAGAACTTGTGGAAGGCTGCCAGCACCAAGCATTTCTGTGAGGCTACACTTGATGAATTTTTTGGAAGTCACCTTAGAGAGTGTTTCACACATTCCTGTTGGTTTCCTGAATGGAGTTTCCATTTTTTAGGTATGAGTACACCATTGAAACCTGCCCGATCAAAGTCCAACGACGTGCAAACTTTACCTGTCTCTCGGGTAATCCAGACGGCTTCCAGAAGATTATTTCCCAGTTCCAGCCTCACTCCTAGCTCCGAAGGTGGTGTTCGACGCGTGTCGTTGTGCTCAGCCCATCTCGGCCTCTGTCGCCCCCTGCTCATCGAGGAGACCGACTCTGAATCCACTCTGATTTTTCTGCCTCTTTCTCTCCACTCCCTCTGGGACTGCCTGTCATTTAGTTCAAGCATTACAAAAGAAAATGTGGTGAAACCCCTGTTCATCATTTATCAGATCATTCATGCCCTGGCCCGTATTCATGACCTGGGCTGCTTTGCCGGGGATCTAACCATGTCGGAGATTCTCATTGACGAGAGACTCTGGATTCAAATCATTCCAAAGCTAGATTCCAACTTCCACACGTGCACAAAAGGAAGAACCCGTAGCCTCACTGAGGAACGATGCAGTCAAAGTCCTATCTCTGCTGAAAATGATGAAAGTCTGCCTAGGCTGGTGGAAATGTGGGCTCGAGGCTCTCTGTCAAACTACGATTACCTGATGAAGTTGAACGCACTTGCGGGACGCAGGATGGGCGACCCCAAGTATCATCCTGTCCTTCCGTGGGTCATAGACTTCTCTCAGCCGAATGGAAAGTGGAGAGATCTCTCTCGATCCAAGTTTCGCCTCAGCAAGGGAGACAATCACCTCGACCTCATGTATGAATCTGCTACGGCGTCTGGAAATGAGGTAGGAATCTTTTCTCAGCCTTATATGGAAACTTGCAGGACTTTTTCATCCTCCACTCTCTTGCCATGGTCATAATCGCTCAGCATTTGAATGGAATCGCATTTAGTTGTGGCTCTCATTTTTCTTCTTTTTGGCAATCTTATGCTGAGATGAATTAATTAGCATTATTAAGAGAGAGTGTACCCTAGATATCTGAGTTTCTGGGGAAGAGCAAAAGATCAGCCAGCTCGATTGGGAGGTGAATACTAGTTTTTTTTTTTTTACCCAGGGTTCATTCTCTTTGTCTGTTGTTTTGATGGCTAGTGTTCAGTTTTTGATGAGTCTCATGATAAGAAGGAAAAACTGCTGCCACTGCACTGAAAGCAGTTCAACAATTTGAAGACAGCATCATCCTTAAGGACCATATTCATAAGTGAAGGGATGTAAATGTGGAGCGTTATACATGTGTCTCAGAATCACTTGTGATTTTACACTTGAAGATGTCAATTATCATGCTTTAAAAAGTGCTCAGTCTATAGTGTTTCTTTGCCTTCTGTGAGGCTTATCCAAAAGTAAACATCATCATTTTCTTCAGAAAATTAAAAATTAAATTGTGCATGTCAGTCATGGGTTGAATATAAAGAATTTACAACCTGTGAAGAATTTTGCCTGGTCTTTTGACTTATGACCAAGACCAGATTGGACCTCCTTTTCACTGTCACAAACAATAGAGAGAATGAATTGAAGGATGGTGTCCTCTCAAGGAAATAATTTTTGTAAAAAATAAATTTAGAAGGATGTGCTTTAGAAGGAAGAACTGCTGGATGTGGAGAGCATAGAGTCCTGACATTTTTCAGATTAGTCTTACATTAATTGTATATGTGCATGCTTTTATGAGTAGAATAATTGAATCACAGCAGCAGCAGGTGGCCCATCACATTCCTGAAGTCCTATCCGAGATAACATATTACGTGTACAAGGCAAGACGTATGCCTCAATCGGTTCTGTGCAAGCACGTACGCAGCAAGTGGGTACCGAACGAGTACCCAGCCTCCATTGTCCGCCTCCAGGAGTGGACTCCAGATGAATGCATTCCAGAATTCTATTCTGATCCTTCTATCTTCAAGGTAGGCCAGGTTCATCTTTTCTCTCTATGTGATAGAGCAAGTCCATTCATTTTCTGCTGCTTCCACAGTCGACTCATGAAGACTTGCCCGACTTGGCCATCCCGGCATGGTCATCGTGTCCGGAAGACTTCATCAAGAGGCATCGGGAAGCACTGGAGAGCCTTTACGTATCTGAACGCCTCCACCACTGGATTGACCTCACCTTTGGTTACAAGTGAGACCTCTTGTGACCCCATCTAGGGTCATCCCTTGAAGATTCTGACAATATGTCATCCTGTGATCCTCCAGGTTGAGCGGGATGGCAGCTGTGAAGTCAAAGAATGTGTGCCTCCATCTGGTGGATGGACACAAGAATCTTATGAACTCTGGGGTCATCCAGCTCTTTTCCAGTCCTCATCCTCAAAAAATCTTCCCTTCCGCGTATTATAGCCGTCTACCTCCAAAGCTGAGGCTCAGGCGTGTTGTCCAGGGTAACGACTGACTTTGTGATCTTCAAGTAATATGCCAAGAATGGAATTCTTACATGTCTTACCAGTTCAGATTAAAGGATATGATTTCAAGATGAAGTTTAAAACCTATGACATTTGTTGCTTATTTTTTAAGTTTTCCTGCCATTTTTGTCCTATGGGTGGATAGTGAAGGGATGTTTTTTCTTATTGTTGCCATCTGACAATAATTATGAAAGTTGGTGGGTTTTTTTTTTTTTCTTCTAGTAAGTATATGTATGTTGTATGTTTTAGGTGATAGTCCAAGTCATGAGAAGGGGCTATCTGGAGATTCAAGTGGAGAGGCAACAGAGGATCGGAAGCAAAAGGACGAAGAGGGTTCCAGAGCAGCTGCCTTTCAGCGACTCTTGTCTCGCTCGCCCAAACTTTCCACATCTGTTGAACCAGGGAATGAAGTCCCTGTTCCCCTTCCCAAGGACTATTCCCCTATTAGTCTCCTGAATCAAGTGGAGCACCTGTACTCGTTCATAGCGGGGATCGCCGGACATTGTCCGCAGCCACTTTCGACCGGATCGCAAGGCAGTCCTCAGAACTCCTTCCTACGGTTGCTGGTGTCGAGACGAAAGGAGCGGGACTTGCAAGCCCTTGCCTGTCTCATGCTGGAAGTCTTCATGCCCAGCACGTTCCAGATCCTCGGCTCTTGTTCCTCACTGGAGCAACGAGTTCACCTCGCCTCCAGTGTGATATCGCAGGACCCAAAAGCGATTCCCATCTGCATCAGAGAAGCCGTGGCATCTCTCCTCAATCACGATTCATCGACTGTGATCACTGAGAAGGGGACTCCCCCACTCACTCCCCAACTGCTTCTACAGCCACTCATCTCTCCCATCCCTTTCCCATCCAGCTTCTCTGTTATTTATAGCATTGCAGGAGAGATTTCTGATCTCCACTGGAGCCTTCGGAAGAAAGAGATCTTAAGTGACACCGAAGAAGGGCTTGCGAGACACTCGGCATGCGTCGTGAAGGGGACCGTAGCCAGTCTCTCACCTGTCATCCTCCAGCTCTCCAATGAAGAACTAGACTTGGTGGTCCCACACATCAAGGCACTGTTCCGGTGGCCACAGACCCGGGTGTTGGCCGCCTGGCACCTGCTCGACCCCATCGGACAGGCTCTCGGCCCCGAAAAGACGTCCCATCACTTTCTCCCCGAGTTGACTGCCCTGATGAGCTGCGAGAATGCAACTGAAAAGCATCTGAAACTCTTTCATAAAAGTTTCCTCCTCCAGCTTCTAGTCCGGTTAGGAGTCAAGTCCTTCTTGGCACACTTCTTGTCAATTCTGGTCGAGGCACTGGGGGGATGCCGAGACTCAGGTGATGCAGCTTCGCATCAGCATAATTTGAAGTGAGTATCCATGTTCCTGGTTCATTGCAATGTTATAACAGAAGTTACTTGATAATCACAGAAGTCATCCCTTTAAGAGATATGAAATATATATTTTAAGGAAATTTTGAACATTTAATATGGAATATTAAATTAAATTGGCAGCATTGGAGGCATTGCACTCAAATTTTAAATTATTTCAGATCTCTCCCCGATGAACCAACTTCAAGTGAGACTCAAACACCCAAGAAAGTAGAAACACCTGCAAATGCAGGTATGACTTCCATTTTAATCCTGTAGATGACATGCTGATGCCTCAGATGGTTCAGAGATGGTTTTTACCCTCCCCCTTCAGAACCAGGAGTCTTTGAATTCGAAGAGGAGGAACTGAGGGGAGCGAGAGGGGAAGAGGAGGATGCAGAAGAGAAGGAGGTGGGTGAAGAGCCACTGGCAATCTCCCATGATTCTCTTGATCCCACTCCCCCGCTGAAGACCTGCCAGGTCGGCTGATCATCTTGCTTGGTTGTGTAATTTTTGCTCCAACCTCACTTCTGATTGTGGTGACTGACATATGAAGGTGGGGATTTCTGACATGTGCATGGAGAGCATCCTGTGGTTGGCAGAGCGGCTGGGACCCGTCCTCACGGCAAGACACATCACACGCAACCTCCTCAAAATGCTGACTCTCTGCTACCTTGAAGAAACCTGTCTTTGCACTTTGGGGAGCTCCAGGGCATGTGTTGTGGGGGATATGCGGTCTCGGAAGGTCCTTCTGTGTCTATCCCACATCTCTGGCAAGAGCATGTTGTATAGCATGCTGCATATATGCAATAATATAGCCAAAGAGATAGTGAGAGGGTTTTGAATCATCCATCAAATAGGTCTTTATGGGGAGGCATTTGTGACACTGCAGTACCTGCCACACGTGATGGAGTTGGTGGCATCATGCAAGCAACGCATCTCAGTGACATTGGAGGCTGGTCTGATTGGAGCTCTTGCCCTTGTCCCGCATGCTCTCGACTGTCTCAGGGATGCAACTCTAATGGAACTTCTATCTGTCAGTGCCTCACTCAATTCAATTTCATTTGGATTTGCTGTTCCATTTTGAATCATCTCATGAATGAAAGCTGATTCACATGCAGGAGACCCTGATTCGTCGCATTGTGTACCCAGCCACCCAGCTGGCATCGTCGCGAAGCCTCACGTTCCCACACGGCGAGAAGGCCCGTTCGGCCGTGATCTGGAAGACGTTCGCCGTGCTGAAGGTCATCTCGATGCGCATTGGCTTCGAGATGAGCAAGAAGCACCTGACGGCCGTCATCGTGCGTTTCTTCCGGTCGTTCTCCCTTGCTCACGAGACGGACAAGGACGATGCAGAGTGCCACAGGAGCACGGAGAGCGACACAGGAAGCGACCTGGACAACAGCGGGTACTTCAACATCGAGAAGGACGAGGAGAAGGGAAGTTACACTGTGAAGGGGCTGGTGCACCTGGAACAAGTAGACTCTCCTGCAGACCTTGGCTTCCCTCTCTCTCCCTCAGAACACCAGATCCCAATCCCTGAGAGGGTAAAAGCCAGAAATATGTATCAGGAATGGTTGCATGAGGGCATTGTAAATTTAATCTGTTTTTAATTACATTTCATCTCTTAATCATACAGGCTTAGCATCGGTTGAATCCATGATTCTCCTTTGATGTGAAGTTCAGCCCTGGAGAACCATTCTAATGAAGGCAAATATTTCTTCTTTATGCCAATGAAAAGGAATTATTGTCAAGAAATAATAACTACACGTGGAAGATGCAATAAATGTTTAAAAAATGAATAGCAAAGCACTTGAATATTTTATAGATCTCAGTTGCTGCTCAAATTGTCTGTCCTCTTCACTTCCTTTATACTTGAATATTATGCGGAATTCAATTAGAATTTTGATTTAAGTTTTAAACATGGAAGAATCATGTTAATTGCTGAAATTGCCTTGATTCAGCTTACACACCTCAAATCACTCAATTGGGCTTTTGGATCTATCTCAGAGAGCCCAGTGATTAAAAGATGGCTATTGATTGCAGGTGGAGGAGGAGCTGAAGGAGGTGTTCTCCTGCGAGCTGGCCCATGAAGCGTACATCACGTTCTGCCACCTGGCAGGGAACATGCACCTGGATCGCCACCTGTGCAACACAAAGCTGATCAGGTTGCTGTATGATGAACACGAGGTGAAGCTCAAGAAGCTCAGCCCCTCATCCTCTTCCTCCAGCATTTCATCTCGAAATCATTTCATGCATTCTGTACGTTTGCTCTTCTCTCCTTGATGTGAAATTTTGGCAAAGCAGATCGCAAAGCATCTTGTGATCTTCCAGGATGCAACAGCTAGGGCCGGTGAAACTAATTCTTCCAGCAGTACCAGGTGAGGTGATTCATTTAGCTGTTACCAAAACCATTTTACCATGAACCAAAGCAAAAACTGCTGTTTATTCTCTTGATAGGCATGTGAAGGGGAATTGGTTAGCCTATTGGGAGCATGCCATCGGGAAGCCGGACGTACCGGGAACGTTCGACTTCAAGGGGATCCCCCTGCAAGGGTTCCTCGGTCACACGGCCAACACTCGATCCATTGTCGTTCTGGATAATGAAAATTCCTTCATCAGTGGAGGGAAAGATCGTACCGTTCGACTCTGGTCCCTGAGAAACCAGGTCTGGTAGCCAAGAACATTTGCTAATTTCTTAATTGTCTAGCTTCATCACTTATAGATGAGTCTCTGTTTATACAAGTTATCCATGCTATAATGTGTCTGTAATGAATGATGTTATAGTGGCCCACTTATATTGCTGTCTTGTCCACAACAAAATGGAAAAGATGCACAATTTTGATGTCCCTAATTTCATGGCATGAATAAGCAAACATTGTTTTTTTCTTCTATTCTTTGCTTTATGCAGTTGTCATTTTGCATGTAACCCTAATTTTAATATTAATGATTGTTTTCATTTTTGTAAATGAAAGGTATTATGGAATAGTGATTCTCAATTTGCACTTAAAAACAAAGTTAGAAATTATCATGTTATTGAGAAGGAGCCCAGAAGTGTTTGGTGTTGGACAACATCTTTGGGAATTTCAGTAGTTGGGCACACAACTGTAATGTGCTGATCTCATTTTTTCACCTCAATGCAAATTAAATTTATTTGCGGGTTAGAAAATGCCTCTGGCACCTCTTCCATGCAAGTCATCACACTAAAATTGAAAGGATCTCAACAGGGCGATGGAAGCTGCCAGATGGCATGTCGATGGGTCTACGGCCATCACAAGAAGTCCATCGTGAGCTTGGCCTACCTGGACGGACCCCGACTGATCGCATCCTGCGACTCGAGCGTCCACGTTTGGGATCCATTCATGACATCGCCCGTGCTGCAGGTGGAGGGGGGAAAGCACCCTCCAGTCACCTGCCTGATCCCATTCCCAAGTGCACCCCAGAGGATTCTGGTGGGCACCTCTGAGGGCACCCTCAGATTCCTGGACATCCGAGCGTCCAAGTACGTGTGCGACCTCAAGACTTCATATCTGGCAGGAGGTGTTGTCAGGTGAGACGGACAAACGTTTCGGCAGGAATGCCAGCCTTGTTGGATTGCATGCTGTGGTATGTACAGTTTAATGATTTGAATGAAGGGTAGCAAAGTATTAATATACCTTAACATCCATTTCTTTTACTTTTTCATCCATGATGTAATTACATTGCAGTATATGGGACTTTAGCTATTATTTCTAAGGAAAAACTGCCTGTGTGTATTGTATTGTGCGACAAATCCCAGTGGTGACAATTGCTCCCATTTTTCATGGAAACCAATGAGAATAACACATATGATACACTTAACTATTTCCTGCTGCTGGACTGGGTTTTGTCAAGCTTGTTTGCTTCTCTCTGATGTCCTGAGTAGATATTTATGTCTGAGTTATGAACAGCTTTGAGAATAAGCCATTATCATCAGTGGACCACATTTTGATGGTTTGCAGTGATGGATTAATTCTTTAACATCCATTTCAGTGTATGCAGTTGAGTGTTCAATGCAGGAAGCCCTGGTGGGAATGAATGAGTCTTGCATTCCTCTTGAAATTTCTTCCGTTTTTTATTTATTTGTAGGAGTCTGTGTACGTCATCCGATGGACATCGGGTGGCAATAGGACATTCCACGGGAATCCTCTCGGTCCTGGATCTTCGATCAGGCTTCCTACTTAACTCCTGGAAAGCACACGATGGAGAGATCCTCAATCTGGTCTCAGGGCGCACCAAGGGCTTCGTGTCGTCATCGATGGATCAATCCCTGATGGTCTGGAGCTGGGAAGACGGCAAGGTCCTGGGACTGCTGAAGGGGTCGTCGGAACCCAGTCATTGCCTCTCGGTGATGGGATCGCAGCTGGTGACGGCCACGACGGCCAATCGCATCGGAGTCCATTCCGGCTTCGAGGAGCCTCCCGGGACCCTCGCCGGCGTTCGGCTCAAGCTGGAGACGTTCAAGGGAATGATCACGTCTCTCGCCACGCTGCCTCTCAACGAATTGCTTCTTCTTGGATCTGATAACGGGAGCATCTGGCTCTTCTCCTGAGCTACATTCCATGTGATTGATCTGACAAAGGAAACATGCTCCTGGGGTCATCCTAAAAGTATGTATCTGTTCCAAAGCAGATGGTTTGCCATGTGCAAATGGTGGGAGTCATAGTAAAGCATCCTGTGATGAACCGCCAAAGACAAAATCTCCACTCAAATATATATCAAATAGCACAGTGCAATTTGAGCATCCTTTAATAAAAGACTTATCACCAATTGTCATTATTCTCATCTTGGAATAAGAAGTCAAGTTGGAATTACCAACCTGGCACACACATTAGGCAAAACATGCAAGATTTTCTAAATCATTCAAGAGCACCTAGGGACAGTGGGTTTTGCATGCTCACATGACAAATCTGGTCAACTTTAAATGATGGCACTGGGGAGTTGAGACTCCCTATTCAATCTTGACTTTGACCTAATGCACTCACTACTTATGCATGTGGAAAATCTCTAGGAAACACTGAGTCCATGGATTTCAAACTGACTAGTTATTTCTTTAAGTCATCAATGGCAAAATGCATGAAATCATGAGGATGATGCTGCTAAATTTGATATACAGTAGAACTCGATTATAATGAAACCTTGATTATAATAAAGAAGAGCTCCAGGTCCCGGTGTAGAGCCCATAAGGTACATGACGTTTTACCTCGGTTATAACGAAGTTCATTCAAGGTCCCACTGACGAAGTAGGCAACGTTGACGCCCCCAATTCATCATTCTTCACTGGAATTTCCATCATCGGAAGAGTGAGCAAAACAAAGTTATGGTAAGCCATATCTTAATCTTTCCAGGAATCAGCATTCCTTGAGAGTCATGTGGGTGTGACTGGAGGAGGGTGAGGGAGGGATAATCCCCAGTAACTAAAAAGATCCCATCAAAAAGACTTCAGGTGTCATTGGCACTTCTCGTTGACAACACGGGCAGTGAAAAGCAAGAGGCAAGCCTTCACAATTAACATAATTCGTTTATAATATAAAGTGGGCGAGGAAAAAGGTGACGTCTCTCGTGAACATCTTGATTAGCTCATCTCTTAGTTCACCTGTTTCCACAATTTGGAAAAATAATGACATCTTCATCTGTACTTAGGAGAACATGCAATAAAATGAGAAATTTCATTGATCTGCTCGAAATGATGTTAACAAATCCTTGCAAAAAAGGCTCAAGGTCCGAAGAAGTGTGAACATCATGGTTAGTAGGCCAATGCTTAAAGTGATGCCAGTGCAGGACAACCAATTTTAACCAGAGTTGTATATAGCACCCTTTTTTAAAACAAGGAAACGTAATGTCAATAAAGGCAAACTCGGTTATGGTGATGATTTTTCCCTGGTCCCTTCAACAACGTTATAACCGAGTTCAACTGTATTTCAAGGCTGTCCACTGGTTAAAATATTGTCTTCTCAGGAAAACAGGGATTATCCATAGTTATTACAACATTCAAAATCCCTTTAAACATTGCCTATGTCCCAGAATTGTTTAAGATCAGGAGAAATTCAAGCAGTACCCTATCTCTCTGACCAGTGTTTACAATGCAGTACAAAGGAAATTGTGAAATCAAGGGATGGAAGGGAACCTTTGAGTGAAAGATACCTTCTTTCAGAGGTCCCCAACCCAAGTTGGAACAATGGAAATGAAAGGTCTTTGTGCACCTTCACTTCAGCCATCTTTTGCATTTCAAGTTCCAAATCTCAATCAAAGATCAGAATAGAGTAACTTCAGAATAGAGTATAAATCAGCTGCTGACTTCACCCCCACTCAAACCTTCTCCCCATTTGAACTCCAGCTCTCATCACAGAAGCAAAGAGTGGAAGCTGAAAGCTAATTCAGAAATTTTCTTGTATTCTCTCGCTACAATCCCTGCCATGTGCCATTTGAAACTCATTTGTGGCCCCATTGCCCTGGAAAGTGAAGATAGGAAAGGCTATGGAAATAAGGAAAGGGACTCAAGTTAGAAGCCTACTCTGCAGTTGTAGAAGTCCTTATCTCCTGTACAAGCAAGATATCACAACTTCTTGATCAACCATTTGCACAGTGTGTCTGTAATAACTTGTTCATCCATCTGCAGTGTATTAGGTCACTTCATGATTCATGAGAGTAATTTCACACAATTACGATTTAATTATTTCTCTTTAGCTTATTTGTGACTTGGAGGGTGGGTATGTAAGGGAAGGTTGAATAAGATCAGAGGACTCAAGATCATCTTGTATTGCATGCTGCAAAATTAGATTTGAGCAAGTCAACTCAAAGCTGTTGGCTGCACGACAAACAGGTATTTGTGGTGTGTCAGGTCAATAATAAGCAACAGGAAGACTTTCTCTTGCATATTAGCAATTTATTGTACAAATAATCTGGAATATGACATTGTCTGCAGGGAGGATAAAAGAGGGGAAAGAAGGTGGGAGCAAATTCATCAGAGAACATTTTTAAATCAACAATGGTTCTACCTGGAGGTCAGAGAAAACAATGAGGTTTTGGGGAAGCCAACCTCCAAAAAAGGAAACACAGCACTCAAGTTGTGCAAAACAACGCCTTGTTGTGTGAGAGGTGCACATCTTGGCAAAAATAGACTTTTTCTCTTCTTCTGTTACGACACAAGTATTTGTGCTTGATTTGGAGGAAGGATAAACAAGACAAAATCCACGTCGATGTGGATCGCACAAATCCCGCAGGAATGCGAGGAAAACTGGCATGCTTCTTCTGCCTATTTGCAGTTGCAGCATAGATGCATGTTCAAGCAATATTGCAAAGCTCAATTGTGAAGGCTCACTAGCCCATAGATTCTGCACAACGAGGTGAAATTAAATCCTATGCAAAACACAACTTTTCGAATTATTTTATGCAGATCATGGATGCATTTTCCTGTTTTCCCATTTTTCCTCTTCACCTCACATCAGACAAGGGTGCTAATAGACCATGGAAGAGATTCAAAGCTCCCGTGTATCATAGCAGATTTTAAAATTCTGAGATATGATGGTGCAAGAATTGAACTTCTGTCAAATGGAGAACGCTCCAGTGCCTTAAAATCTGAGTCACTACAATTAAAAACTGCTCCTACAAGAATGGATGGAGATAAAAAGGTCTTCTTGGGATTGGAGATGAGAAGACGAAGGGAATATTGCACACTACCGGGATATATATGACTATCAGATAAAGGAAATCTCTTGGATATATCGTTCACTATGTCGACTGACTAGGTGGCATCCTGCACACGTGTGGTGATGACTATCATACGACTCGATAGACTCCAGATCGATGATAACAATAATATCCTCTGGCAAATATGAAAACAAAGAGCTGCCTTGAGAAAAGCAAAAGGACATCAAAGCCCTCGACAGTTGGAGGCCAACCAGGGCCAGTATAAGCAACAAAAAAAGACCAGCTCGTTCCCACGTCGTGAAGGATGGCTTCACTTCTTGTGGAGGTAATGGAGTACATAGTGGAGAACGAGGTCATAGCAGTACTTGTACTCCGTCTGAAACGTAAAATTCACAACAAGCATCGATCTCTCGTGAACGTGATACGTACTCCATCACAGATGGAATGAAGCCTGAAAACCATCATACCATGTTCTCGATGAGCTGGGGGCGGTGGCGTCGAACGGTTTTTGCAGCCTGGAACACGTCCACTTCCCCATGCTGAATGACCTGTTCGATGCAGGCATTGGCAGCACAGTACACACCTGCACGACCACATCCATCCCTGCGAGGAAGATAAAATTCGAGAAATCATCATCCCCATACACCCAACTTGCTGCAAAGGCAAGGGGAAAGATGACGTTACGGCGAGACGACAACGATGGGGCCGTATTCCGTCCTCTGTCGCCACCGTTCGACCATGTTCATCAATTCGACCAAGGAATTCGTCGAAGTTGGGACACGGTGCCCCATCGGCCAGCACATGAGTTGGAACAGCTGGCAAGTTTTCGGCTCGGCCTTCACCCCGGCCATCAGCTCCGTCAGTGAGACGATCTACGGTCACGAGGAGCATCGATCTTGTTATCGACATTTGCAGCCACATTCGTGCTAAAAGTCTTCTTATCGTGCTCATGCATACTGTCTATCCATCAAACAAAATTACAAGATCTTCCAGATAAGACAAAGACCCACAGACGCAAGATGGCATGCATAGTGAGATGCAATCGTGTCTCTCACATGTCTCTCTCACAGCCTGAGACAATGAAGACCTCCAAAGTTCATCTATTCATTACTTTTGCTGCACTAGCTTCAGAAACTCTTCCTGGCAGTGAAATGAAATCCACCCTATTGCTTTTTTTTCACTCATCAATCAAATGATCAAAAGTTTTAAAATAGATCAGGTTTTTGTTTAACGATAAGACAGCATTAAATTTGAGGACCTTCAACTTGGTGAAGCCTCCTATGCCTCCTATGGGTGCAGGACTCGTGCCAACCAATCAAACTGCACAAATCCAAGATTCAATAAGTCAGACTAAGAGTACCAGGAGGGGCTCTTAGATTCGAATAAACCCGACCTTAAATATGACAGAGATCTATCGTGACTTCCCCATGACTATGTGCAGATGGATAGACAAAACTCGATAATTACTGCCTTCAACCCCAGCCTCAAATCCTTGAGCATGTTGCAGAGGAAGTAAAGTTTGGATGCGTGTTATTAACTTAAATGAAATTTTCAGTGAACCGAAAGCTGAAGAAGTATGTGAATGTACGAATGCAAAAATATCAGGGAAAAAAAGGACACCAACAGAAAAAAAAAGAAACTGAGGATGGAAACACACCTGAGTTCCTTGGACCTCATCAACAACTGTGGATATGGTTTTCCTATAGGGTGCTATCTCCTACAACACACAAAACCGTGCATGACAACCGAGCAAAACAACAAAAAAAAAAACTCAAATAAGGAAAACACAAAATGAAAACCCGTGCAGAAAGATACTGGATCAAACGGACGCAATTCGACTCGCAGCATGGCCTCGTTCACAGTACCTTTTTGTTGAGCTTGAAGACCCAGCTCCGGATGTTGGGGTACTCTTTGCGAGACATGAGCTCCACGCTGAACACTGCGCCGTATTTGCGGAAGCGGGACGTTTCCGGCCAGAAGGACGGATATTGCTTGCAAGGGAAAAAATTTAATATCATCATCTTGGACATCTGGCTGCATCGGTTTGGTTCAATCCATGGTTTCCGTTCTCCAAAATTAGTCACCGATAAATCATATTAAACGTTTGTCAAAGGGAAACATTGATACTCATCAGAGTGTTTTAAAAAGTTGCAAGGGAAAGAATCAAACTTTAGAGTCAATTCTCACTCTCTTTCGAGAACTCGGTCAGATAAAAAAATCTCATCAAATCATGACTCAATCAAGAAACCAAATCGGGACAGGCCTCAAAGTTTTCTCCACACATAAATCCATGCGCTCCTGCACCGTGACACATCGAAAGAACACGAAGACAGGCATGTGTAGCAGAAACGCTGCAGGGCAGGGACGCTTCATGGCATGACCAAAAAAAAAAAAATCTGGACTCGAGGACTGACACAAAAAAAGGGAGAGAGAACAAGAGAGGAGAAGAAAAGAGAAAAGAAGAAAAACGAGACACGAACCGGAGAGGGATCGGGGTGACAGAGGACAACAATGCCACTACAGTCGTGGTCATAGACCAAGGACCAGATGTCCGGCACGACAGACGGCAAAGGCCACTCGGTCACTATGTACTCTTTGGGGTGGGTATAGCCCTGTAGAAACATTTCCTCTATTCAATCTCAAAACCTGCTTCCTACCTCACACGTGACTTTCCCCCACCCTCCGAGATGTCTCGTCGTCACCCAGGGAAGGGAAAAAGTGATAGTATATTTCTCTCATCTGCTAGTAAGCCAAAAAAAAAGGTTTAAATTCGATGAATATAGGGGATTCCTCCAAAAACTCTCCACAATTTTGCCATGTCTCATACATGGAAGGCCTGGTGATTATGCATCATTTGGAAGGATCAAGTAAGGAGATTGAGTACTTTAGCTCCTGCTACTGCCAAGTTTTTTTCATAAGTAGTCTTGATGGTACCCATTCGGCACAACAACGTTGTGTCAACGTTGAGAAAAGGCTTATTTTCCAACGTAACAATGTTATCTCAATGTTGAGAAACGGTTGAAATGATACAGCTCGACGTAGAAAAGTTGCTGCAGTGCAACGTTGTGTCAATATTGAATTGTCAACGTACGGGCATCATAGTACCTCCTCCCTTATCCAGAGTCTGAAATAACGTTAATTAGCTGACGATGAGATTGCATATAGATCCAGTAATCCCACGGAGGGTGCCCAAGTTGTACGATACAAGCAGTGCTCTATTGAGTGCAACCATCCCACGTAAAGGACCCTTTGTTGGATCAGAATTCGAATTGAGTACTTACATGACTCAACTCTCTCTGTCCAGTAGAGGGAAACAACCTCGCGGGCATATTTTCATGCTCTATCATTCATGGAAGGGCCCAAGTGAGTGCATGTCCCATGTGGAGATCTTGGAAAATTGAGCATGTCTCCTCGGACCGACTCCTCTGACCCCTGGCCAGAAGTACTTTGAGTCTTCTTCTGCTGGGTTACCTCCCTAAACAGATCTATCTAAAAATTCCTAAGCCTTCCCTTATATTGTACACGGGAAGAGATCGGGTTATGTATGAAAAATACAGGGTACTGTTTATTTCAGGGCACCAGGGTAAGATTCACCGAATCGGCTGTTAGGCGCTATCTCGTGCCGATTCGTAGAACCTATTTTCTGTTGACATGATATGGATAACTCCACGTAGAAACTAACAGTGAGACTATGATGGAAAACGAATTTGCGCATAATAGCCTCTGAACGACTTCGCTAATTCACGAGTAGTCGCTAAATTCTGAAAATACGGCTAATTACGAATAGCTAACATTTAATCCATTTTGATTTTTCATCGAATTCTCAACTTCAACTAAGTCTCAACGTTTCAACCTTTACTCACTATTGGCACAACGTTGATGTGCCGAATGGGCAAGAATTAAAGAAAAGAAACATGGATTTATGTCGACCGTGGACTGCAAGGAGAAGGGCATCTCTCTGGCCAGACACACCCAGTTTGTGTCACCTCACGCCATGGGCGTACAAACGGATATTACATCTCCCCCCTTGGCCACCACAGAGCAGAGAGTGACCTACAGCAGGACTCGAAGGCGGGGCAAGCAAGACAAAAGAAGCAGCAGAGCAAGCCACGGAGAACTGCCGGCCGTTCTTCGAATTCAAACCAGAGCAGCAGGTGCATCATCCAGTTGCTGTCTTACCGTTCTAATGCTCAGAGGATTTGTGCACATTCCAAAACGGAAAATCCATGAACAGAGACATGCAGTAGCTTCACTTAAATCTTGGATATTTATACTTTCATTTACTGTCTTTTTTTTTTAATTTATCACGAGATCGGTTCAATTTGCATTCTGAGATATGGCAAAAACATAAGGAGAGGTTACTCTGTCGAGTCTTAAATCCCCGTACACTGGTGCGTTGTGTCTCATTTTATACAAAACTTGGAACACCATTGCTTCTCCCTTCCAAGGAGGAAAAGAAACCATGAAGAAGAAATTTTTGAAATCTTTCAAAGAGATCCCATTTCCCCTTTCATTCTCCAAGTGCTGTGTATGAAGCAGACAAGCCCTTAAACACTCCTACCCATCCCTGGATGATAAATAAAAAAAACACTCATCCCGTCACGTTATAAACCCCATTCCCACAAAACAAAGGAGTCGAGGGAAGCATGCAGAAAAAAGTGGGGCCATCACGAAGCAGAAAGAAAGAACCTCAGACGTGCAAAAAAACACGCAGGCATGCCGTGTGTGAAACCCATCTCAACCCTCGCCCAGCCGCGTTCTCCCTCCGACCTACCGATGAAATTCGGGGGCTGCAAAGGACAACAATGGCACTACACTCGTGGTCATAGACCAAGGACCAGAAATCAGCTATCGTTGGCTGTAGGGGCCATTCCGTGACTATGTACTCCCTGGGACGTGTGTAGCCCTGGGATAAGGGGGAGAATCCACCTGTTATTCACATCACATGACCAACAAAAAAAAAGAAACTCAAAGAACGGCAAAAATCTCATCGAATGAGAACCAAACGAGACATCATCTATCGTTCGTTCTACAGTTATACCTATCATAAACGAGAAGGAACAAATGAAATTTTAGTATCAGTTGGCCTACTCAACATTTTTTGCACATGATCAGGACCTGCGAGCAAGACCTATGGTATGGGTCAGGATTCGTGCACTATTGCATGGCAAATCATAATAATAAATACAAAATACCACATTTTGTCAATGTCAATGACCCTTTGTCAATGGCAACGTTCACTTTCTGCTTCGGAGATGCACACAACTAACGACTTCGATGTGAGATAAGCATTTATTGTTCCCCTCAATAGAATCGGCCTGGGATGATTCCAGCTTTGCAAAAGTGATTCAATAAAACTTTAGCATGATTTCCGTGACAACCCTGATAAAAGAATGCGTTCAAGAACCCAGTACTCAATATACGAAAAAGTTAACGGTAACAAAAGAAGCCTGCATCCTTCGATATCGGGTTGAAATGCAAAGCGGACCGAGACGGAAGGGGACTCACATCAATAAAGACGGCGTTGATATAGTCGGTGCAAGTGTTGCCCTGGAAAGATGTCAGATACGGACGGTAATTGTCCGCTGCAGGGAATAAACACAGACGGTAAGAACCAAACTCTTTTTTTTTTTTTTTTTTTTTTTACCCAAATGAAAGGAAAATTAACCGTACGAGGAACGATGATGACGTCACGGTTCTTCTCCCGGTTTTCCGGCCGATGACCGCCGGCGCAGTCGCCGATGGTGAACTTGGGCGTCATCTTGGAGATTTGCTGCGGAATCGTGGGGTGAAACCGATGAAATCACCAAAAAGGAAATCGCGAGGGAAAAAAGGCGAGAACCTCACCAGGTACTCCTTCTGGTACTCGTTCATCTTGTCCTCCGCGTTCCTCGTGGACTTGAACTTGAGCCGCTGCGAGAGCTCCGAGACGGGGAAATACGTCATCCCGCAGATCACATACTCCTCCAGCGCTTCATACACGAACTTGTACTGATCCTACGATAATAATAAAAAATCGAAAAGTCGATCAAATCGAAGGCTTCGCGAGCGATGAGAAGCGAGCGAACGGCCGACGAACGAGAGTTTCGACGAGGCCCCGCCGAGACGATCTCATCTTCTTCAAGTACCCATAGAGGACAAAGCACCCGTCCTCGTCCGCGCTTTCCAGGTTGGCGTCGATGGCCATGTACACCCCGGATCGCCCGCTCCCATCGCTGCCGACCGAAGGCGACCAAAGGCAATCGACATCACCCACGGCACAAACAAGCGTTCAAAAAACATCGACGACATTCCTTTAGGCTGCCCCAGGCCTTCCCCGCTGGTTCTACTGCGACTTTCAAATATGAATAGGAACAAGTCACACCATGTGAATGCACATAGGATGATGCTAATGCGTTGCTATGCCAATCGAGCTAGAGGAAATATCCCGTCAGCAATCACCACACTGGGCATTCATCGACAGACATGTACGCGCGAACAGACTGGGAGCCACTTTCCTATTTCACTTTTACATTGGCAGAGCAAGGAAGCCCCCAAGCGACTCCTGCAAGCCATCTCGGCATGCATGGCTTTCTACCGTCACTTTAATATCTTCAGTGGCATCGCCAGTGAGCGCCGTTAGATGAAGCTCTCAGCTTCCCTGCCTCGGTTCTCAAGCTGGAATGCCTACGTTTCATACAACGACTCCCCGCGATTTCTGAGTGTTCCCAGAAAAACCATTCACGAAAGACAATGGACTCAATCATCGACATTTCGACTCACCCACCGACACATTAACCTCCATCCCCCCAATTTCATCCCCAACGAGTCCCACCAGCCACCGACCTGCAATGGACGATGACGGGCCCGCTGAGCGCATGCGGCGGGTTGCTGGACGCCGTGGAGAGATCGAGCGACGACACGGACGCCGCCGGCGTGGGCCCCTCGGCCGGCTCCTGCGGCACGCACAGGCTCTTCATGTACAGCCGCACCCGCCGGCGGAACTCGAGCAGGGCGTTCGAGAACGGGCTGGTGTGGCACGACCACTCCGTGTAGTGGTACTGCTGGATCCGACGCTCCCCCTCCTCCGGCTGGACCGGATTCCATCCGAGAGAGTCATCGTCACAAGTTCATCTCACCGAAAAACTCACTTTCAACACATCATTTGATACACAGCCCTATGCTGAGTTTTCTTTGTTGGCTTTCGATCCGACTTTCCACGAGCCGGAGCAAATAAATGGCCAACCGATGCTGAGAAATGCCATAAAGAGAAGTCCCTTGTGCATCGTTAAGCATTAATACAGAAAAGAAAACGAGGGACACGGGGATGAAATTCAGCTCTCTGCTATACTCAAAAGACCATCAGGCCGGGAATCGCATTAGACATTAGAAAAGAGACACGGACGGGGCCTGGTATCCCTTCCAATCCGGGTTCTTCCTTCGCGATAAAATTTGAAATACAGAGTAGGGCAAAAGTCACTACACAGTTTGTAGAACACAGTTCAAGTTCTAACGCCATATTGACCGTTGTTTACAATAAAAACACCAATAACACGGAAAAATGATCGTACAATGTAATTTCAAAAGCTACCAGCTTCATCAAGCAGTATTACTCTGAAACAGAGGACCAAATTAGCAAAACAGCTATTTTCATTATGCAAGAACTGTATAGTAACTTTTGCCCCACCATCTACATTGCAATAATTTTCGGCGTGGTTTGGCCGCGCCAAGGAAATGCGAATATGCACAACCGCCACCCGTCTGCCTCGAAGAGACACAAAAACCTGGACACTCACCGCCCCGTCCTTTCGTAACCTGATGGTCCGGATGAGGAAATTGGCCAACTGCTCCTCGTGCAGCACAGTCACCCCGATGCCCCCGTAGACCTCCTCCATCCCGGTGGCGGCCGGCCAATACTGCACGCACATCACCTGCACAGACAACGCGTACGTGCGAATCGACGAGATCCGAACGAATGGGATCGAGAGGCGATGGGTACCTTTATGAAGTCGAAGGTCTTGGTGAGCATGACGATGCACGGCGACCGCTCCTGCCAGACCATCCGCCAGAAGTCACCGATCGTGTTCTCGTTGGGGCCTTGGGAGGCGATGTACGCCTTTGGCTTCACCAGGCTCTGTGCATCGGAAACGGGGTCAGGCGGAAGGGCTCACCGGGGCGGGGCGGGGCGGGGGGGGACTCACGTCGACATAGGAGGCGTTGATGTAGTCGGAGTCCGGGACGTCCGGAAAGGGTTCCAACACCACACGGTTGTAGTCAACTGCGACGGGAAAAAAAATGAATTTGAGGCGCGACGATGACGCGATTGGCTCCCGCGGCTCTCGCAGACTCACATGGAATGATTTTGGGGTTTTGGTTCTTGGCCTCGTTTGCAGGCTTGGACCCATGCCTTGTGGAATGAGATTCTACCTTACATGCAGTCTGGAATGGGAAAAAAAAGGCACGGGGATGAGGACGGAGCAAAAATAATAATAATAAAAAATAAATAATAAAAAGTAAATAAAAACAAACATCCAAGGACTGTTGGGACAGCTCAAAAATGAAAAAGATTCATGGCCCATGCGAACATAACCATAATTCAGCTCACACCATGAACGTCCCATTAAAATAACCCATAAGGTGGTAAACGTCAGTCGCAGGCAGGGATCTCGATTTCCATTAACCGATGGAAAATCCTCTTTCCATCTGCTTACCTCTGGTGAAAAAAAATTCCGAGAATAATTCCTAATGAGGGAAAAATGCTCTTCCAGGAAAGCGGGGAAAATTCTCCCCCTTTTTTTGCCGGTTCGCCCGGTCACTAAATCTTCATTAGGCGGTTTCCCCCCGTCACGAACGAGTCGACCGAACTCAGCTATGCGGTCGCTTCCAAATTACGGCTGGAAGGGGAATGTGGCCTGAGTGAAACCAGACCCGCAAGTATCCCGTGGTACCCAAAGCACTAAAAATGTGTTCGTGGGCTTCGCAGTCCCGTTCCCCTTCCGTCATCACACCGGGGGATCGTAGGATTATCCAACGGATCACAGGGTTTTTCACCGGATCGCAGGATTATCCGCCGGACCGAACCCTGTCGGGTCGAGTGGAGCAGAAATTCCCCCCGAGATTGAGGCGGCACTCTCCCCCGATCCCATTCATCTCGGGTCGGCCCATTTCATGACGGGTGAAATCCCCTTTTCTTCTTTCCCGTCCCGAAATCCATCGGGGAGAGAGACGGAGATTCATCGCCTTCTTCTTGGGTGTCAACGACGTCACACCGCGTCGAACAGGCGTCTTGTTTATGAGGCAATTCCATCCGCGCGGAGAGGGGACTTCGCATTACAGTGCATCAACGTGTGCGGAGAGGGGGCAAAGGGGGGCAAAGGGGGGGAGGCGATGGAGGGATGGCCGGAAATAATCCGGGACTGAGTTTTTTGCTAAGCTTGTACTGCTTGCTCCAAAACTGCATAAATTATACTTGTATTTTTGGCACCCCACAATGTAAGATGCTGATTCATTTCGAATTCATGAACTTTTTTTTAGCATCCAGTGACTCAAGGGAAAAGAAACAATAAAACCTTCCATATGTTAGTATGAATATGAAGTCATAAGACAGACGTTCAGGAGCAACTAGAGCAACTACACCTTACGGGAAAAAAAACCTTCTTCATATTCTTCGGGTACCCTAAGCACCCCAGGTATCGCACATTCACACAGTCGACATACGGATCATAACTGGGCAGAATCATCAAATAACATGTGCTCCTCGCGATACTTTAAACTACCTTCACTGTCAACAGTTGAACAAAATTCACTGGGTGGTTAAAATAATTGGCCATACCTCGAAGGCCATAACACTGAAGACCGTATAGTTTTTAAATTTTCATAATATATACGATGGAAAATAGCATAAATGCTTTGTTTTGTCTTATATACGATGGAAAATAATATAAATCCTTTGTTTTGTCATAAAAGAGAGCCGCTTGTGATCAAATTCCATCTGCAGAAAAAATTGTGAACCTGTCAAAATTTTGTTCAAAGTCAATGTTTTGTGGTCCCTCTGTACAAGCTAATAAATGAAAGCAGCATTCAAGGTAATGACGCATATTCAGCCTTTGATAAGTCCGATATGGCATGGAAAATGCCGAAATCCACAGGGTCGACGGACGAATCTGACCCTTTTCGCAATTTATTGGGCGCAATCAGCAGGAAGTCTCCGAAAACCAAGAAAGAGTCGAATACTTCGGTTACGCGATCGAGTCACCTCACAAGTCCCTCGATGAAAATTTTACCTGTTTCCTGCATGAGGAAAGTCACAGGGATACGTTATACTTCCGCTTCAAGCAGCTGCAACCCATTCCACGATACAGAGCTGGGAAACCGACGTCATCACTCAAGGTCCGGGGAATCCCAGCCACACGATACCTGTGAGAACCATCAGCTGTCTATGCCCCCTCCCGAACCCTGAAATGCCCCTACAAGGCGCGGCACCGGCACCGTCTTTGGCAGTGCCCCCGCTTAGCCACTCCGGTATGCGAACGAGGAGGCATCCCATACCGGAAGGAGGATGACGTCAAAGGAAACAAGCCTGCCACCGCGCGACGGGAGGAGAGGCGCAAGGAACGAGACCGGTTCCTTCCCCCTCTCCTTTCTTCACCTGCATTGGCGTCCACGAAGTCGTACGCCTTCACCCACATGCTCGCACACACACACGGGCATTCACTTTATAAATAGCCCCTCTTCCACCGTGTAGAAGCCACGGGTCTCCACCCCGAACTCCGTCGTCCCACCGGGCCATCCCAAGCGACGACACGCTGCCGATCATCCAAACTCTCCTCTCCGCTGCGGTTCTCTCACCCCGCTCCCCCCCTCCTCTCACCCCGTGCCTCCCTTCCCCCCTCGCCCCTACGGGCATGCGGGCGATCCACGTCACAGGCTGGGCATGTTCCGCGCGTCCCTCCCACGCCTCCCTTCGACGGCATGCCCCCTCCTCCGCTTTCCATTCTCCTACATCGCTCAGTTCGATTCCGGCCGTCGACGAGCATCGATCGCGTTCGGTACAGACGCGGCGGAGCCCAAGGAACACAGATAAATGTCCTCCGAGGCCTTGGACTCGGAGGGGAAAGCCAGGGCCTTGGACCGCACGACTGCGATACCGTCTTCCCCCTCGACCTCCACATTCCACTCGCGTTCCCTCTTCCCCGATGTTGCCAAACACTCTCCGAAGGGTATGTTTCAGTCGAAAGCCACAAGAAAAACTCGGCAGGGGCATGCCGCCCGACTTTCAACTGCCTTCGATCGAATTTATATTCGATAGGCATTCGGAATGCGCATCTAACTCTCCGAGAATCGGCACGGGAATTCGTCTCTAAGGCGGAACCAGATCCGGAACGGCACCATCTCGCGCGGGAACGCGGCGAAAACCCCACGGACGAAGGGCGCCCTCGAGGAGATGCGATTGCAAGAAACGGAAGTGGCAGAAGATCGATGTGTTTACACAGCTCCACCCCATGGCTGAACTCGTAAGTAAATGTTGCCTCACACGCCCCAAAAATAAGCAATGTGGGGAATTCCCGAGTCTGTCGACCGAATTTCTTCCCTAGACGATGCTGGGAGATAGGAAAGGCTCAGTGCTGCCAACCTCCGCATAATCATGCTAAACCTAGCGTAATCCAACGAGAGCAAGCACGATAACTTATTAAGATCACGTCGACATTCTGGCCTTGATTCAAGAACAAAAGAAATGGCTCCAAGATCATGCGGCAAGATCCCAGCATAATTCACGGCGAATAACCACATCGCATCACTGTAATGAACCATTCTGAACCATTCGTCCTTTTTTTGCGCCGAATATTGCCAATCTTTCGGCATGAGTCACAACCACGGATGTGGGATGCCTCAACGTTGCCAAACTGTTCCATACGAATGCCGATGTAGCGTTACTTACGGGGGCGATCCACTGAAATATTAGACAAACGGATATTTCTAATATATCCTCAAATTGAAAGCCGAATAATTCTGGCGTAACTGAGCTGATTAAAATAAGTAGGTCAACACGAGTTGGCAACCCTGACCTGGCTATACACGTGCTCATACTGGGGGAGGTTGAGGCACCGTCAAGCATGATGCCATAGTATTATCTTATATCGAAATTGGTTGGTGGTCTTGAAGTTTAAAAAAATCTGGTCCTGGCGAAGACGGATAAAAAAGGTCACAAAAATGAGAAAAGGTAAAAAAGCAAGCACCTTTTAGCCCACCTAGTAACAAAATACGCTTGTAAGTCCAAAATAACATGAATATGACAGAGATTAGAAATATGAAACAGAGATCAAGACAAGATGGTTCAAGGTGCCCCACGTTCAGGTTATGACTCATCACGCCTTAGGGGATGACCGATCTTGCCCCAGGCATGGGGCACCATGGATCATTTGAACATAAGCTTGTCATATGCATTTAGATTGTGCTGTGAAGTTCTATTGATGGGAGACGTTGAGGAACACAACGATACATCATCCAATTGTTGGAAAGTTTACTATGAAAAAACAATTATTGAGGACTAAAACTCCATAATAATAATTTTTAAAATGTACATGGTGCCCCCACCCTCCCCAACTCGACCCAATTCAGTCAGATTGATTGTGGTCGAGCGGGCCACCACGTGGACCACCACCATCCCCAATCACTCCCTTCCCCTCCCCCTCCCCCCGGGCAAATATCAATAAACTCATACAGCAGCTTCCCGTGTTATGTCATGCATTGTTCGTGCGATAAAAGAAGGGTCCTGTAACGAAGTCAAAGAGGACGCTTGCACCCATGAATAATTCACATGATTAACTCGTGCATAATTCACCGTAGATTATCTCCGCCGGCCATCTAATCGAATGGCGAAATCCTCTCCGGGGAAACCAGGACCATAAACCCTCCCAGATGAGCAAACACCCCACCCGATGCGAACGGACCCAATCCCTCCCCGACCTTGGACGAGCAACCCGAACCCCGCGTTGGACCCCGGCCACATTCTCCCCCTCCTCCTCCCTCGACAGACGAGGAACCGACAGCCACGCTTCCCGCGGACGAGTAAACGGGCCTGCCAGACGACCTCCCATCCCTCCTCCCTCAAGTACCCACCGAGTCCCCGGAAGAAAAACGGACGGGACGACAGCATCGCATCTCTGGATGAAGTAAAATAACAAACGACGACCACGCACTCCCTTGGCCGCTCGCCAGCAATCCCAGCACGACAACCACCAGTCTTCCATCTCCACTCGAGTCATAATATTTTATTGCCCCCCCCCCCCTCCCATGTAGATCATACTTTCAATCCCCTGGGGGGTCCTCAACTTCGTTCTCTCCATCTCCTCGAATGCACGGCCTGTGATTTAGGCGAGGGCAATCGAGGGAATCGAGGGTAATGGAGAGAATCGAGAATACTCGAGGGCAACCACTTCAAGGGCACTGCGTGTCCAAATGTCATCTCGTTTCCATTTCGCTACAGTCTGGAGACGACACGTCAGGCAAGACTGCACCGGTTGGCATGTGATGGACCCATCGTCCGATAACGACCTGTGACAGTCCCGGGGCAAAGTCCAAAATCCCGTTTATTAACTGCTGCACATCATTCTCCTATCCCCAAGTTAGCCTAAGGAAGCCAAGCTCATATTCTTTTCCTTACATGGAAACGATAAAATCTGGCTTTCGAAGGCATAGAAGACTTCCCACCAAAGATAAGAGACATGAAAGCCCTTTTACATCACGGCAACAAGAATGGTGCAAAATTTCCCGAGCCATCTTCATGCCTCCTCAATACGCTACAGTTCAAAAATGAAAAAAGAGACACATAAGCCCATTTCATGCAATCAAACTTGGCACTTTTCCAAGTCTCTACGGAAAAACCACCGAGGAGAATTTGCTTCCACCGGTCGATAAATTTCGAACAATAACCAGTCGTTCCCCACCGAAACTTCTCAACCCCAGACATATCCGCACGACGAAGAGCGAAGCGAAAAGGGCAAAGGGTGAGACCTTGATGTATACAGCAGAAATCCACGGTCGTCGTTCGTCACCTGCGACGACACCGCGACGACAGGGCCTCAGACCCGTTCGGTCGCTGACTCGGCCCCTTCACGATTTTTCCATCTCGATTAACGTGGCTGCAGCGATCTCCGACCTGTTATGGCTCTGCCATGAGTCTTGGACGAGGTTGCCACTAGACGGCCAATAGAGTCGAAATGACGTCATCAACAAGTGGAGGCATTGGTCTTTTCAACGAGCGGTTGAGATCTAAACAGACTTCAAAGGTCAAAGATCACGAACCCGTGTTACTGGGAGTAGACAGATTTTCAAAAACAGTTTACACAACTTGCATTCCGGTAAGAGATCCCGAATGGGATTCAGAGGACCTCTTGGTCGATCTGCATGCCAAAGTTCACGGACCTTGAACTCGGCATTTCCGAGGAAAGCACCGAAATTTACTCAGAAATGTGGCCAAGGGACTACAGAGGGCTGATGCAGTTTTTCACGCCTTAAAGGCGAAACTCATGAAACGTTTTCTACAGATTTGAATTGATAGAACTGCAGAAATGAGTCTTCAAAACGAGTCGATGCCTGAGGCATCACCACTCCCGCCCTCCGGAAAGTCCCACGTTCCCGACACGCATCGACTCCCCCCCCCCCGTAGCTCCCTCTGTAAACGCTCATATCAGGAATACGTCCAATGCAGGACCATAAATAAGGGTAGGTAAGAGCGGGTACTTGACCAGGGCAGCTAGAAAGAGAAGGGGGGGGGGGGGAAATGCTCGCATAAGGAAAACGGAAGGGGAAAAGTTGGTCTGTCGGGTCAAATGAGAAAACCATGAAAGGAAAAAAAGGAAAATATGGTGGAGTCTTGGCCCCCCTTGAGAGTTCCCTCCTTTTACAATCCCCACCACCCTTCACACAATAGGCTTTGTCCGAAGGCTTTTAGAAGTCTATGATGGCCTTTTGAAAAAGTCGGACACCTCGATATTAGTTTATGGCTGGAAAGGGCTGGTGCCCGGGGGAGGGGGGGGGGGGGGGGGCAAGCATGATGGCTTGCTGAGGGGGGGGGGGGGGGCAAGCATGATGGCTTGCCAAGGGGCGACATTACAGGGCAATGCAATAAAGGCTGCTCTCTAGTAACCTCTAAAGCTGAAACCGCGAAAACATATTGAAAAAAAAGCGATAGATGCGTATCACTGGTTCGAGGATACCCCACTCATCGGAGTGGGGTATCTGTACGGCTCCTTCGGAAAGTTGAGCAAAAGTCGAGTAAGTTCGTAAATGTTCCTGGTAAGTTCCATACCCCCCTCATATGCGCTCCCCTAGGAAACGTCCCCAGTAGTCCTTGGGGTGAAAATCGCGGAAATTTTTCCTACTCTTCAACAGGGAAGGGTTGCCGAATTCTGTTGGAGCTTAAATCTTACCAATCGATGATTCTCGGTTCCCTGAGGAACAATCTTCGAAGACAGACGTTGCTTGGGGAGTCTTCGAAACGCGTCGATGCAAAATTAATCAATCTGCACGGATTCTCACGAAATTTTCATTTAGCGATGAAAATTAAACTCGGAGGATAATAATTTCGCTTCCCGGGAAATCCACTCATGCGGTTTTGCATTAAGTCCAACTGCCTCTCCAAGCTGAGCGTTCTTAGACTTTTTAAGAGCTTTTCCTAGGCATTTGAAAAAAAAAAGCTTTAAAAAATCAAGCTTTTTTATTTGAACTTTGGTACCTACTTTCTCGAGAATGAGGCCGAGATATTTCTCCTTATTGCACATCCATCCTCAGAGATGACAATGAATAATAGTTCTATCCTATTATGAGCCGATTCATTATTTCTGACGCATCGATTTGACAGGCAATGTCGATGGCTCATACGGCCACGTTTCCCCTCCATCCCTCTTTTCTCGGTCATTACCATGACCAACTTCTCTTCATCAAGTGGTGGGATGATTCACGAGAAATGAGAATTGCTTTTCTAAGGGTACCGGTTACCGAATGGCTTTTTCGGCTTACGACGGGACCTGAAAGACCAGCAGACGATGAGCGATCGTTCCCTCTTTCTCTCTCACCCCTCGCTTTCTCATCTGCTGCCAAGATATGTCTACCCGTACTTGCCTGGGGATACTGCACTGACAAATGAATTCATCGAAAGACCATCATCAACGCTGACTTGGGACAGCCTGAGAGGGCCCTCATTGCAGCTTGCCAAACAGCTTGCTGAAGCGAGGCGTAGGTTGAGGCAATCTTGTTTGCGGGAGCATCTTAAGTGCTAAAATCATTGCTTCGCCGGGATATGAAAAGCCTTCATGAGGGGAATGGACAACGCTCTGCGTTGAGTAGCCTTGTCTTCGTCAATAAATCATTATTTCATAACAATATTTTTATTTTTATTGACGAGAAAGGAGGGGAGGGGGGGAATCGTCAAGGAGCGAAAACAAGACAATAAAAATTACCCGACTAGAATATTAGAATTCACGGGAGAGCTTGGCTGTTCAGCGTCTGGCAACACTACTGTTGTGACAGCGTGTTGTAATAGCTCCATCGGTGAATCCCGAATCCTTGCTACCGGAGGGGGAGGGAGAGATGGATTGGGAACAAGAAAACGAACGAGGAAAATGAGATCTTAACTGGATAGAGGAACAGAGCGAGAACAGAGAGAACAGGAATTGGCGCCTCGCATCCCCAGGCTTCTCATCTGACTAGATAGTCGTAAGTCAGATGAGAAAGCGAGGAACGAGAGAGGGGGAGGAAACGATCTGCATCGTCTGGCGGGGTGTATGCCAAGCAAGACCCTCCCTTCCGCAACCGCCTCTCTAGAAAGGCGATTACAATGTCATCTGCGTCGTGAATCACTCATCCACACCAAGGCAAGTAGGTCATGGTAATGCAGATGGAGGACGCGGCCGCGTGCTGCATGGTTCTACGACGTTGCCTCGATCGAATCAATGGGTCGGAGAAAAAAAATGCATTGGCTTATAATTGGATAGGATTATTATTCATGGGATGTACAGATAGCAGAAATATATCAGCCTCGTTTCCGAGAGAGTCGGTTCCAAAGGTCAACATAGCTTAAAGAAAGCATGATTTTCGAGCCGATTTTCAAATGCCACCGAAAAAAAAACTCTAAAACGTTGAACTCCACTCCGCACGGAGACGACGTATTGCAAAAACTCATGCACGGATTTCCCGACAGGTCTGCCAGATTTGGGGGTGGGGAATTTCAGGCACAGCGAGATGAGATTTACGCAAAATACGTTCCCCTTCCCCAATCCGTGAGAGAAATTTCCATCGCCATTTGAAAGAGATTTTGAGAAAGAGCAGTTTTAGAGTGAAGAGTGCCGATGTTTGCCTCAAATTATTAACCGAATCGACGCCCCATGTAATAATATCCGTCTTCGAGGATTGCTTCAGAGGGAAGCAGAATATCGATGATTACGATTACCGATCGAAATCGAAGACTCTTCTAACGGTTAGAAGGAATCTCCGCGATTTTTACGTCGAGGTGGCTATCCAAAGATTCGTCTCTATCGATCTCTCGACGGACATTTCACGATTTTCCCCTTTAGGGCAAAAAAATATGGCATCAGCCCTTCGGAGTCTCTTTGGCCCCAATTTCGAGCACATTTCGATGCTTGCCTTGGAAAAAAAAAGTTCAATTCAATGCCCAAGGTCATTCTCACTTCAAAGCCCAAGAACTTCAGCAAGCAGATTGATCAAGATCTAAATTCCCAGGAGTGATTTTTACCGTAGTGGATCTATGGCCGGGATGGCAATCAGAAAGCTATCCGAAAGTCTGGCCTAGCAATATGGGCTCATGACCTTTGACCTTAGAAATATGCTCAGACCTTAACCCTTCCCGGTCCATTCCCTCCACTTCCCGTTATTTTTGCCTTCCTCGGGCCATCCGCTTCGGAATTGCACCCATGTTATTTCAACCCCTCAATCCGTCACCTTCCATCAAGTGATGAATTCAACAGACAGTGCCCCCCTTCTGCACCCACCCCCCTCTACACCCAACCCTCTCTGCACATCTCTTGGCTCCTAAATCCATTACTTCCCCCAAATTTGAATACCCAGATCGTCGGTTTTTCCGCCCTTTCTACCTTGAGGCGAACCCCTCGGCCACAGAACCCGATCGATGGAACACAAATCGAACGTCGAGTGCAGAGCTTGCAGAGCTATCATTTCAGGGGCTCAGATTCACTCGATTGGACGCTATTCCCGAAAACAATTTTGGAATAAAGTCCCCAGTAGAGAGGTGTGCGCGAGTACCGTTTCACGCGCGATTCACGACTTTTTACACGAGTCGTTACTCGCGCTCAGGTTCTGAGAAGGCACTTTATGATCCTGAGTTTTTTGTTGCAGTCGGCGGAGCTACCTTGCCAGTTTCTGACTCTCCCAGGCTTCGGTTCGGATAGGACTCTTCCAGCCCACCTCTTTGAGGTTTAAACCTTGGGAAAGTTCAAATTTTCATGTTCTCACGGAAACTTTTGCTCTAGCCAAGAAGAAACCGAGAAAAATTGCGCTATCTGCCTTTTTGAACGTATTGCTTTTCTTCCTCAAGAACTAGCGAACGAATAATTACCGCGTGAATCAAGCGTCATCCAACTACTACACGTTTCCTTGCTAAATACTTTTTTTTTCAAATCATTTTGAATGGGAAAGGAAGAGCTGACTCACGCCACGACTCACGAGGCATCACGAGTGATTTTGCGTGAGTTAATTTCACGGTCGTAACGGTGTGTGCTCGTGATTCTTAAATGATTGAATCACGGGTTTGCGTGAAAATGAACATGATTACGGCGACAAATCCACAATAATCAGTCTCACCATTCCGATGGCGAATTCATAATGAGTTCATTTTCCCAGGGTGCAAATCGCATCTAGGAAACATATCCAGTTCTGGACGAACATGCAAACGCTGGGGTGGGAATTCCAACGAAATTCGAAGAAACAAGTTGAAAGGAACTCCTTAGTCGCAAAACGATGCGCTCGCTTAGAAGAACGGGAAAGAAAATGAGAGTCCTACGCTGGTCTCATGAGAGTCCTAAGCGGTGCCGCCGCTCCATGGAAGGCCGGAAGGGAGTGCGAACACTCCACCCCTGCATTCTCCCTGGAAAATGCTTTTTTATATGCATTTTTAAAAGGCTGAATCCCCTCCAAAAAATCACTAGTCGCTGATGCTCATCGACCCGGTACCATTATGACGAGAATCTGCGAGGAAGTTCAAGATCTCGTCATCGAGCACGAAACTTCTATCCCTTCCCAATTGGCATTCCGCATTTGGCATCCAGGGGGTGGGCGAAACGACTTCGAACCACGACAATTTCTTTTTGCAATCACTTCTACGTACCCTATAAACGTCCAAAAATTCTTGTTCGTTTTTCTGCACCCGTTTTAGCACGGGAGCGAGAAAGCGAAGGCGACTCGAATTTCATTTTTGCGCGATGAAGAGTATCGGCGGAAGAGTAGTTGGTACAAGCGTTACCCATCTTGGGCCAGAGCCCCCCATAAAAATGCTGCTCTTTGCGAAAGGGCAAGGTGGGGCAGAATATTGCCAGAATGGCAAAGGATGAAAGAGTGCAGAGATTGATTCACAAGCTACGAGAAACTGGTTCATCTGTGAGGAAGAGAAGAAACCAAAACTAGCCAGAATCGACGTAAAGACGAGCCAGAGATCTGCTATGCGGATTCTCAAGTGCAGAGGAAAAAAAAAACCTGGAAAAAGAATCGTCATTCCTAGCGAGTGAGGCAGGTCCTGGCAGGTCCTCCCCTCAGCGTCCAGGTGCGAGTGCAGAAACAAAATTCCAGTCGCATTTGTAAAATCATTCGTGTGCTAAAACGGCTGGAGATAAAAGGGCAAAATTTTCCGGATGCTCAAAGGAGGAAAGGTGTGTATGGAAGAAACTTCTTTGTTCTATCTACTGTTTCAGAGTCACCACAAATTTTCAACGAGCGGCACGGTTTTCTTTTTTGCTTCACCCGGTATTTACTCCTTTTTTATTTATTCATTTTATCTTTCCTTGCCATAAATCGAGAAAGTGGCTCTAAATTTCCCCAGCCGAGGCTCACAGCCTGCATGATCGACTTTCGACGTTAGGAACCGGCATGGGGAGAGCCCTTTTAGAGTCGGACCCAGACCTCAAACGTCTACACCCGGCCGACACCGCACATTGCACACGTACGGAACAACAAATGCACATTGCACATGGTACAACACGTGCACAGTGCGCTTCGTCTTTGAGGGTTCTCGCTCCGGGGACACCTTGCAGCTTCGTTGCTCGTGACCGTGTTTCCTGCACGTTTTTCAAATAAGACACTAGGACATGTCAGATAACTGCGTACCTGAGTCGATTTCGTTCGAGCAACCATTTCTCCGGAAGTAGCGGGGCAAAAACAAACTTCGTCCTGTGTACGATACAGGGCTTAGGGATACGAAATTTAAATGCCAGCATTGCATGGAATTGCCCTTATTGCCATCTCAGTTCTCTTCTCTCAAGTGTCACGTGCCGCATGAGCGATTTAAGTGGAATTCGATTTCCTAACAGGTTACAATGCTTATATGATAATAAATTAATTGGCTCTATGTTATCCCCATACAGTTCCATGGTGGAGATGGACATATTCATCTGTAATAGAGCTAATGCACGTCACCTCTTATTTACTCTGTCATCGTAGAAGCACGAACGTGTCAGTTCCCAGACAGTGAACAGATAGTAGTGACAGATCGTGTGACAACTGCTTCTATCGCGTAAAAGACCCAGATAATAAAAAATATATATATACATTTTATAAACGAACAAGCGATATTTAGAAAAAAAAATAGCGACAGAAGAGCAAAAGAAACAAGAAACAATTTTTAAAATAAAAAGAATGAAAAAAGTATAAACATACAAATCGAAAAATAAACATAGCTAAAAGGAATAAAAATGAAAAAGAAGAGAGATAAAGTGATAAAAGGGAATGGAAGGCACAGACCTGGAACTCGACCTTGAGAAGGACGGGGTACTTGCGCCTCTGAGCCACGTACTTGTGGAAATTCTCCACCTCCACCGGCTTGTTCGTCAACGCCGCGATCGCCCGGTTCTCCTCTGCTGTAACACGACACGTGTTCCATCACGACGCGCCCTCCGGTGGCGACACGCCCTCCCGGCATCCAGGCTCCGGATGACCGGATCCGTGGATGCGATTAAGGGATTAAGAGATACAATGCGGGGTTACATGCGCGTTTTGTGTACGAGAGGGATCCTTCGCAGGCTGCTTAAACGTGCCATACATTCGAGAAGAGTCTTTTGGCTCGGCGAGAGGGGAAGAGTGAATGCGTTTTGACAGTGGGCCAAGAGGCATGCCTCGGATCGTCTTCGCCTTCCAACCGATACCGACTGACCCTTATTATCCCGACTATTTAGGCCTCGCACATGTTTTACGCGCGAACATTCCACGGGGCGCCTTGACCCACTCGACACCGGACGGGTTCGGTAAACACGCTGTCGAGTGCATCTTCGCTGATGGATGCCAGGGATGGTGGGCGTCTTCCGATGCTCCTTCGTTAGCGTCTTTTTTGAATATACTTCACTGGAGGAACTGAGGAAATTTCGGTAGGAATTTTGGAATTACCACGGTTTAAAAAAAATCGGACGGACCTTTCGGAACGGGAAGGATCCCACTGTTGAGCATGGAGAGGTGGATTTTGTTGGGGATGGAGACGAGGGAATTGGAAGCGGCACCGAACAACCGATTCGTCTTGCTCGGGGGCTTTTCCACCTCCCCCGAGCGGTTGCGGGACCGCGACCGGCCGCTGGGGTGGCGGTGGCGGTGGCGCTTGCGGTGGCGCTCGTCCGCGGAGTCGCCGTGGAGGAGGGGCAGGGAGTTCGCTTTGTGGGGGGAGTCCACGTCGTCGAATTCGCGGGCCATGCGGGAGGGAGCGGAGGACGGCGGTCGCGAGCGGAGCGGCGCGAGCCGCTCGCGGTCGGGAGGTTCCGGCGGCGCAGCCACTCTACAGGTGTGACGTGTGAGCGGGGGGATTCAGTGGCACTGGGAAGTGTTCACGCCATCACGGAGGACTCGCTCGTTCTGGAGATGAGGGGAGGTCCTCCCTGGGTCCGTCCTCCCGCGCCGCGCAGGTTTCTTCTGCTTCTTGGCTCGCGTCCCCGAACGGGTTCGCGGGTTCCGTCGTCCCGCGGGAAAAGCGATGAAAAGTGATGCGATCCTTCGCGATCGTCGACGTCGACCTGTACGTGCCGCTCGCTTCGAGTACCGTAGATGGTACTCGAGACTTTTCCTGCAATTCCGCACGGTAGCAGTCTGATTTACCAGGCTCGAAGGACGCACACCAGAAGAAACAGGATGGAAAAACCGGCTGAATTTTCTCATGCAGTCGACACCCGAGCTAACGATCCCCTCCCCGAAACCCGTTCCTTATCCGGGTCGGCTCGTCCGCTTACAAGATCATCCGACGGATTCTCGAAAACCGTGACGCGGATGGCCTTCCCGAGAAAGAGTAATACGATGTATTTAGGTAGGTGGCAGCCGTTCAGCTGTATGCGATGAGCCGATCGAAACCGCCGAATAGAGCTAAATCTCAAGGGATGCGCCAAATTCATCAAGAATCCGTGCGGGGGGGGGGAGGGGGGGAAGGAGCCAAGGGAGCCACGTGCCCCCCTCTCCTAGTGATTGGAAGCTATTGTGAAGCAGACCAGTCGATGGATTACGCACAATCGTCAATCGAGACAAGATACAGGATACAGTCCCGATGATCCCACGATCAACATCGCGTTTCCACGGCGATCTCGCGATCGTCTCTCTCGGTGCACACCGGATTCAACGATATCGTGACGATTGCATGCGCTTCCGCCCTGGGACACAGCGGGCACGACCCCTCACCCATCCTCGGACGACATTAGGACAAGAGTTAAAGGCGACCGACGGTTCACCTGAAGCTGCTGAGCCAACTTTTCGCCCGCCAGGAGCGACACACTAGACGGCCGCGAAGACTCGACCGTGGAGGCGCACCGAGAGTTCCTCGCATCGCGCGGAAACCTCACGGACGAGACGCGAACCGTGTCCACTACCGCGACCGTTTTCTCTTCGAGGTCCATTGTCCCTTCGTGTAAAACCGATACTTCGGTATGCGCGCCTTTGGAACCCGGTCTCAAGTCCCACGGTTTCTGGGTACCGGTGGCCCCGCCCCGTCCTCCGCTCTCTGCCGTTCGTCCTCGCGGCCTCGACAACCAAGAAGAGACGGCAGACGCGCCTGGAGGGGTGTCCATACGGTTGTCGTGTGTCTTCGTGGATCGCACGTGCACGTCGGGTTCGTTTCGTGCCGCGCTCCAAGTGTTCTCCGATGCGACGAGGATCTCGGGATGCACGATCGTCCGACTGGATCAACTGATCCGAGGGACCGGGTAAGACGACGTCGTCGGGTCGATGCTCCCTCTCAATAGTGTTGCTGGATTGGATTAGCAATCCAGTTTTGGCGACAAGTGTCGCCGCTTTCCATCCGTGGGCGAAAATTATTTTTCTGCTACGGACTTAGAGCGCAGGAACAGCCACCGAACCCATTGAGAAAACGTCTATGGGGATGGCAAGAACCGATCTCTTGTGTAACGTCGACGAAGATGCCTCAGAGAGAGAGAAAAAGAGACAGAGAGGGAAGCCAGCTCCAGGAAAGAAAAAGCAAACAAGGAGGATGGAGAGGTGGTGGAACAGGAAAAGGAAGAAAAAAATACAGGGAACGGGGGAAAAAAGAAAACTGGAAGAGACAAGGGAGGTCCTGACAGGGAACGGATGCTGGAAAGACCCTTGCCATTCATCAGTGTTCACGAGCACGCCTTTTTTTTTCCAACTTGCTCCTCTTCGAGTGGTATTCGAATATGGAGACACGGGAAAAGATGAATGAGTGACGTCACCCGGGAAAGCCGTCCAAACTCGCTGCCAACACACGGGGCACATCAAATCAATTTCTCCAGCGTTTCGACACCACCTTCGCGAGGATGAATCTTGCATATTAGTATCGCTCGTAATGGAGCGAGGAGCATCTCCACGAGTCCAGACCCGATCTCAAGGTCGCATCTTCCATCCTCGACTAAATCTTGGAACGAGTGACTAAAACTGCAGCCAACAGTAGAAAACGACTAGACGATCGAGCGTGAGCCGCCATGCCCTCGGCCTGCCGACCGGATCAGACCAACAGAGAGCGAGTAAGGAGCGTGCCGACAGGAGGGCTGGTCGAGTGAGCACGAGGAGCGGGAAAGGCCATCGGGAGGGGAAGGCAACGGCTGCAACTCACTCTCGAATGGATGGATCTCGCCTGCTGAGGACGGCTCATCGGTGGCGGACTGGAGGACGGTGAAGCGAATCCACTTCTTCACGTCGATCGGCAGGCTGCCTGCTTGGCAAATTTCAAAGTCGTCTATACGGGGTTTGTTCGTGGATGGAATCTCAGTGGAGGCATTCCAGCTCAAGTGATCAAGGGGTGGTTGCGATTCAGACTCCGATTTGCTTGAAAAAATTATTGCATGCTGGCAATCAAGACTTATGAAAAAATTCAAAATTTTGGCCTTCTGGTGCTACCGGATTTCGAGATATGCGGCACCAAACTTCGCCCCCAAGAGGAAAAGTGGCCTTTAGGGTTAAAGCGCTATCTTTGGTCCTAGTCGAGCTAGAAACGCGTTTTTAGACTCTAATTAAAGCTGAGACCATGTAGAATTGTATTATTAAATGCATTTTTTACTGCTTTTATTAAAAATTGAGTTATGCAATTTCCAAAATTGTAAATTTTGCAGAATTTTGCACGCAAATTATTAGCACTAAAATGCATTGTAACACCACGACCTTTCGTAACATTGTAGACTAAGGAAACGGCAATTTAAGAACTAAGTTTCAACTTCCTACGTTTTTTGAAACAACTTAAAATTAAATTTGAAAAGTCCAAAATTGTCTATTTTCACCAACTTTGGCGATTTATACTTCCTGTTTTAAACAAGATATAAACCTGTAACTAGTGTCAAATGAAAGCTCTCTCCAAGCGCTTTCCACTGATATATTGCTCGTGTTGTTACTTTTACTTTTCATGCCTGTGTATTTTTTGAACTTTTGGATTCCACAAATTCCCAAACGAAAGGTATGACTGAAATTACAACGATAGGAATCTTGGTTAAACAACCAGACCTATGCATATCTCACATTTGACTCAGAAATATCGCTATTTCTATTATATGCTTGCATTAAGCAATAAAATTTCAACAATCAACACATT